ACCATATGAGACAAACTAAGTATTTTCCCGTCTGTAAATAATGAATTTAAATTAAGATAATTTGAATAGAGGATTGACTGCAGCAAGCACAATATGATTTATCTTGCTGTTTCCGAGGCGGTGTTAGTAATGTTGTACAACGTTTGACTGAAAAGGCTTCAGGAGGTTGACATTTAACTATTGGTGTTGCTGTGAGTCTTTAATGAGGGACGCACCGATCATTTAATCAATGAGTTATGATTGGTATTGATTCTGATAGGGACCTCATTAAGCAGAACAGGTGGGGTGCTGGTGTGGTTGTGTGAGGCAGGACTCATGAAATGCATTAACATACTTTATTACATACATTTCACTAGATTGATAAGTCCTAAACTCATTGGCCTTGCGAGGTTCAGGGCTGATTTTGATTACATTTTTTTTTATTTCATGAGAAATGTCAATATAAACACCATCATTGATTTGTTTCGTCGCACAACAGCAATATTATATCACAAAAACAAAGGCTTAAGTATGCCTCTTTAACAAGCTTAGGCGAAAGAAGCCTGTACTTAAATATTATTAGCAATGACTGTTTGGTGCTGTTTTTTGTGTGGATGTTTCTCTGTTATTGTTGTAAAAGGAAAACTTGAAATGTCAACAACTATTTTAACCCTTAAATGGTTTCAGTATCCTGGGGTATACATTTATTTAACAGGCTTTGTCGAATATTAACAACCTCTGAGATATCCAAATTGACCAATCATAATTGAGTATTCAACTAAGCCGTGTAATAATATTAACAAGCGGAATTAAACACCATGTCTATATGCGCACTTTTTGGCAACGTGAGTTGAGACACGGTCACCTCCTGTGGCTTTGGAAAGTTTAAAACCCAGGATTAGCCTCTTCACAGTGTGTCTCGTGCCGACCTACAGACAGCCAGAGATGGCCAAAGTACACACATCCTTTACTCAAGTAGAAGTGCAGATACTCGTGTTTAAAAATACTCTGGTGAAAGTAGAAGTATTGACTAAACTTCTTAAGTCAAAGTAAAGAGGGCTTTGAAATGTCCTTCAGTAAAAAGTACCCATAACTAGCAGCTGTTTTAAAGAGTACCTGACCTCCCTTTATATTAATAGAACAATAATGTTCTATTAACAATGTTCATTGTTAGCTAATGAATGTTTCCATGCTGAACAACGGCAACATGACAACGTTTTCATTGGTCCCTCTTCTTTAGAGAAGACCAGGAAATGATGGATACACGGATCGTGTTCAAATCAATAGGCACGCAATGACTCTAAATAATAATGATCACGCCACATTCAAACTAAAGGAACCAGCCTGTTTGGGAAATGTGAGAAGTAGAAAGTACAGGTATTTGTGTTCAACATGTAAGAAGTAGAAAGTACAGGTATTTGTGTTCAACATGTAAGAAGTAGAAAGTACAGGTATTTGTGTTCAACATGTAAGAAGTAGAAAGTACAGGTATTTGGGTTCAACATGTAAGAAGTAGAAAGTACAGGTATTTGTGTTCAACATGTAAGAAGTAGAAAGTACAGGTATTTGGGTTCAACATGTAAGAAGTAGAAAGTACAGATATTTGGGTTCAACATGTAAAAAGTAGAAAGTACAGATATTTGGGTTCAACATGTAAGAAGTAGAAAGTACAGGTATTTGTGTTCAACATGTCAGAAGTAGAAAGTACAGATATTTGGGTTCAACATGTAAGAAGTAGAAAGTACAGATATTTGGGTTCAACATGTAAGAAGTAGAAAGTACAGGTATTTGTGTTCAAAATGTAAGAAGTAGAAAGTACAGATATTTGGGTTCAACATGTAAGAAGTAGAAAGTACAGATATTTGGGTTCAACATGTCAGAAGTAGAAAGTACAGGTATTTGTGTTCAAAATGTAAGAAGTAGAAAGTACAGGTATTTGTGTTCAACATGTCAGAAGTAGAAAGTACAGGTATTTGGGTTCAACATGTAAGAAGTAGAAAGTACAGGTATTTGTGTTCAAAATGTAAGAAGTAGAAAGTACAGGTATTTGGGTTCAACATGTAAGAAGTAGAAAGTACAGATATTTGGGTTCAACATGTAAGAAGTAGAAAGTACAGATATTTGGGTTCAACATGTAAGAAGTAGAAAGTACAGGTATTTGTGTTCAACATGTAAGAAGTAGAAAGTACAGGTATTTGTGTTCAAAATGTAAGAAGTAGAAAGTACAGGTATTTGGGTTCAACATGTAAGAAGTAGAAAGTACAGATATTTGGGTTCAACATGTAAGAAGTAGAAAGTACAGATATTTGGGTTCAACATGTAAGAAGTAGAAAGTACAGGTATTTGTGTTCAACATGTTAAAAGTCAAAGTAAAAAGTCATCAGAAAAATAAGTAGTGGAGTAAAGTACTGATACCAGAAACATGTACAGTACTTAAGTACAGTAACGAAGTATTTGTACTCCACTACTTCCCACCTCTGCAGACAGTGGACGTTGTGTCTCTCACTCTGAGTCTCTGCCCCTTGACATTTAGTCCTCGTCATCATTAATTCACTCCGTGTGTCTGTCTGGTTCACACTCAGTAAACACTCAGAGTGTTTGGACTCCTGCTGACACACAGAGGTGAAATGTCAGCAGCAGCTGGACAACTGGAAAATCCATCACTCTGCTTTACTGCTCTGTGCGTCTGGGGACAGCAGGGGGACATTTATTATTATTAGTCAATTTATTGAAAAGGTCAGAAAGAATTTTTTTTTCTTCATAATAATAATAATAATACTTATAACAAAGAGATGCAAAACAAAAAAACAGAAAGAAATACGTTCAAGGTAAAAAAAAAAAGAAGAAATTCTCAAATAGTCTCCGTCATATTCAAAAGGCGCAAGAAGAAGCTTAAAAACTTTTCTGGTCCCCCTCTAGCGTACATTTGTCTTGAAAATAAAAGATTATGTCGTTGTCATCAGCGTCATGTTCGTCATGTTGTAAACAAATACTTTTTTTTGTACAAAACAACCAAAAAAGAAATAACTTTTACAATGACAAAAAATGACAAGTATGAGTTCACAGGTCCTGCTCAGAACCATTAACGATTCGGTTTCTAAATAATAGTTTTAGTTTAAACTTGTCCAATATTTCACTTAGTTTACAGTGAAATCAGACTCACCTGAAAGCAGAGGGCTCGCTCTCTGAGTTTCAGTTGCTGAGTCAGGGAGTCCCGAGGGATCTGAGCGAGTCCCAACATGTCCTCCTGCTCCTCGGAGGAAACACATCTACAACAACACACCACTGCTGAGAGACAGGATAAACCACGCGTCATGTTGGTTTATCGTGTGTCAAGGTGGCAAGAAATACATTTTTCCACCTGAATAACATTGCCAGACACTATTACTTAACGCTTGGACTGTTGAAATTCCATTTTTATTGTTTTAAATATCTTGAATTGCAATTCATTCAGAATTCTGCGGGCAAGATTTTAACAAACAAACCAAACATGGATCACATTTCCCCGCTGCTGGCATCACTGCACTGGTTACCGGTGTCTTTCAGAGTTGATTTGAAAGTGCTTTTAATGATTTACAAGGCTTAACGTAACCCTCCATCTTTGCAAGAATCCTTTTAGAAGTACCAAAAGTATTACACAAGAAATCTGGGGAGGCTGCCTTCTGCTTTTATGGCCCCTTGGATCTTAGCAAACCCCCTTTGAATTGTTAAAAGTCAATTAAAGACCTACCTTTTTGATGTGGCTTTTGATTTGGGGTCATTTTGTGGTATCACTGTTACTGTTTTACGGTTTTGTGATCTAACTCTTTCTGTGTTGTTTTTAATTATGTTTCTTACTATTTATGTTCACTCATTGTTATTGTTTGTATGTATTTGATCTGGCTCTGTAAAGCACTTTGGGCTGCACCTTGCATGAAAGGGGCTACATAAATAAAGTATTATATTATTATTATATTTTAAAAGACAACACTGAACTTATTCAAATTCATTACATTTCATTTTCATTTAGCTGACGCTTTTATCCAAAGCGACTTTTACCAATTGCAGGGACATTCTCCCTGGAGTAACTAAGGACTAAGTGCCTTACTCAAGGGCACACTAGTGGTGGTGTTCCTGGCGGGATTTGAACTCACAACCTTCCAATCTTCAGCCCACCTCACTATCCATTAGACCACCACTATCTACCACTATCCCTAAATTCAACTTTATGCTATAGCGTTATCTGACAAGGCCTTGCTAAATGATGAGCAACTGTTGCTAATAGTTGTGCTAAGTAACTGTGTGCCCATTTACACACGGTGGAAAGTAAATGTATTCAATACTCAAGTTCTACTTAAGTACTTTTTTGAGATACCAGAGTATTTTCATTTTATGCTACTCCATTATATTTTAGGAAATATCATACTTTTAAATCCACACAGTTTAATGTACTGTATGTTTTATTATGGATGAGAGAATGAAAGCCACGTGAATGCATCACTGTACTACGGACATATAATATATATTATTCCCAAAATGGCCACTTTGGATAATGAGTTATTTTTGATTTGGTACTTTAAGTATATTTTGATGCCAATACCTTAGCTACTTTTACTTGAGTAACATTTTGATTGCAGGTCTTTTACTGTAACAGAGTATTGCTACACTCTGGTACTTCTACTTTTACTCAAGTACAAGATCTGAGTACTTCTTCCACCTCTGATTAAAGTAGGTTATCTGGGATCAACAGTTGTTAAATGAACCTGGTCTAACGGTGTGAACGAGGCTCACAGGAGGACATGTCTCTGATGATGTCAGAGGCGTGTGGCGCAGTAGACAAGTGCGTAGGTGTTCAGATCAGGGGAGCACAGGTTCAAACCCCACTGCAGTCAGCATGTAATTGTCTCCCTGGGCAAGATACTTCACCTCAAATTGCTCCTGTGGGGATTGTCCACAGTATTGAGTATGTAAGTCGCTTTGGATAAAAGTGTCTAACAAGTAACATGTAATGTAATGTAATGTCTCTGTGTCTCCTCCCGCAGGTTTGGACGGGACGTCGGAGGACATCGACAGAAGGAAAGAGGAGTTTGGACAGAACCTCATCCCTCCTAAAAAGCCAAAAACCTTTTTGCAGTTAGTATGGGAAGCCTTGCAGGATGTCACACTCATCATCCTGGAGGTGGCAGCCATCATTTCTCTAGGCCTTTCTTTCTACAATCCACCCAACGCCGAAAGACAGAGTGAGTCTGGATTTTAAACACTCCGATGAAACCTTTACATCTTCAGATAAGTTACTTTCGATTACTTGTATTTTGAACCTGTGTGTAGGCATCTCACAGCGTTCAAAAACCAGCTATTTACAACTTTGAAGCAGGTTGTTGCTGTTGCCAAAGCCGTTGTTCCAGCCCACTTGAGATCAGATCTGGCTGTATGTTGCCCCTGAACCAAAATAAGTTTGGCATCCCTGCTCTAAGAGTTAGCTGAGATTTTAACATCAAAGCAGAAGTATCTCACCCCTCCTAAAGTCAGTTGGTCTTGAATCCTCGTGCACAGGAAGGTCAGATGCTCCATCACATCTAACAACATTTAAAAACAACTACTACCAACCTGAGCAATCCAGAAAGTTAATAATAAAATTCGGACTTTTTCTCAAAATTCGGACTTTTTCTCAAAATTCGGACTTTTTCTCAAAATCTCAAAATTCGGACTTTTTCTGAATATTAAAAATGTTAATAATCACTCGTCACCGGCTTGATCTTCAATCTCAGGATCCATGTATTTGTGATCCTCTCCAGAATGGAAGTAGTCCTCACATACAGAGCATCAACTAGTTCCTGAAGAGTGTCCTTCACATGCTGATATCCAAGAGAGGGAGTTACACAGTCACAAGATGGAGGAATAGAAAGCAGTATTCAATGTTTACTTCAGATTAGCTCCACGTCAGAAATGATCATGCTTGTGATATGTCTATCTCCATAGAGGCTGAATCATCATGTTAATCACATAGCTATCATATGCCTCAAACAGTCCTGATGCTCTTCTAGGTAATCATACATCCTGTCATGTACACAGCTACAGTTGGGATACCTTTGTTATCATGTGGACTCTGATATTGAAGAGTACATTCAGTATTTTCCCAACAGTTAACATAAGACAGTTTCCTAAGACAAAACAAAGGCTGGAGCTCCTTTTTGCACACAGCTTCACAATTTGCTTCAAAGATCAATTTTGAGTCCTTTGAGATATGGTTAAAAAAGCAGAGTTCATGACTCTAAGGTCGACACAGAAAACTAAACTCCAGCCTCTCGTTGTCTCTGTTCAGACTGCGGCAGTGCGGCCGGCGGCGTGGACGAGGACGGCGAGGCGGAGGCCGGCTGGATCGAGGGCGCCGCCATCCTGCTGTCGGTGGTCTGCGTGGTCCTGGTGACCGCCTTCAACGACTGGAGCAAAGAGAAGCAGTTTCGAGGCCTCCAGAACCGCATCGAGCAGGAGCAGAAGTTCACCGTGGTGCGAGGGGGGCAGATGCTCCAGATCCTGGTGTCAGAGATCGTCGTAGGGGACGTCGCACAAGTCAAATATGGTGAGAGATCATAATGCATAGTGGCTATAGTACAGCCAGTGGTGTAAAGTAGTGAACAAAACAAAGAATAACTCCAGTTGTTGTTTTTCGTCTAAATGCTGAGACTTTAAATCGTGTATAATCTCAGAGCTGCATCTTAATAGCTGAAGATCTTATTCAAGGGTGTCTGAGTTCATTCATTTATCTTTCTGTTTACATGTTCCTGGTATTACAAAATACAAAATGACCCTTTCAATCTAAGTACAAGGATTTTTGTTATATAAAAAAACACAGGAAAGGTTATTTCTATTCATAGACTTAAAAATAACACAACCAATTAAAATGACCAAAGGGTTTTCCAAAGTGACCTTGTTGATGCTGCAGTGCCCTAAGCCCATTTCTGCTGGATTGCTTTCCCCTTTTTTACTCATAGAAAATAAATGTGGTACAAGTTACAAATGTTCAACAGTTCAGAGCTAATAGTGTTCAGCTTAGTCTCTACTATTGTACATCAATTGACAAGCCATACATAGTTGATCTACACTTGAAGGCGTGCAATATTTAAACCACAATTATAACCAAAACAGACCATATAGCCAAAATGTAAGAGAGTGTTGTACAGAAGAATAAATCAATACAAAAAAAAACTGAACCGCAGTGATTTTCTCGATTCATCATAGAGCCTTCTTTCAGCAGAACATTGGCATGTTTAAAGAAAATGTGTTTTTTGAGTATAGAACGCTGCAGAAAGTAATTTCAAGCAACACCTTCTCACTCCCAACTCGTCCTATAGTGACGTTATGTCAGGATCCTTTGGCGTCACCATCAAACTCAGTGGGGGGCCCTTTAGCGTCGATTTCCAACTATCAGGGAGTCCCATAGACTTGCATAGAGCTCCCTGAACGTTGGAAATAGACCAGTTGAGATCATGGAGAAATGCTCTCCGCAGACCCATTCTCACAGCGTTTATCAACCTTTTTCTTACTCAATATCAAGCCACACTTTTTACTTCTTTATTTTAAATGTATTATATCGGACTTTTTTGCCGTCAGTGAGGGGGAGAGTAGGGTCTCAGAATACTGACATCTGTATTGAGTCGGGAGTGAGAATGTGTTGGAGAGAACCAAACGCATCAGCTATAGTACAGCTCATCATCGGCTGGAAGTTATATTGAAAAATGTTATTTGTATTTAAATCTCAACATCACTATTTAAAAGTGGAATATTTCATTGTTGGTTGTTTTCCTCCATCTGTATTCATGTGACAGACTTAATGTTGTAACACAGAGACGTGATGAAGGAGAGCTGTTGTTACAGTGTACCTGTGTGTGTTTTGCGGTTCCAGGTGACCTCCTGCCGACTGACGGCATCCTGATTCAGGGCAACGATCTGAAGATTGACGAGAGCTCTCTGACCGGAGAGTCGGACCACGTGAAGAAGAGCGTCGACAAGGACCCCATGTTGCTGTCAGGTAATGAAGATCTGAATTATTTCAAGTCAAGTCAGTTTGCTAAATAACACAGTGGTCTTTACAATGTGTACGGCATATCACACCGCCTGTTGTTTCTCGCCTTGCTTCAATAAGGGACATTGACATTGAAGAAACCTCAGAAATAGCAGACATTCATATTGATTCAACCAATTAGTTCATAATTCAGTTTTTACTAGAACAGAACATTTTTCATGAATGTACAGTATCCTCTTAATTTTACACTCACCAGATTGATGCATTTGACTTTGTAGGCCACAAAATATTCTTCATAAATGCAAGATTTGTTCAAAGTCAGAGAGTAAGTGCATTATCCCGCTTATTACACGGTCACATACTAAATAAACAAACTATTTCAAGGTTCAAGGTTCGAGGTTCTTTATTTTGTCATACGAACATAGCTACATTGTAGTTATGCCGATGAAAATCTTAGGTCACAGGCTTCTCCAACAGTGCAACACAATAACACAGATAAACATAAAAATATAGTGCAAGTAAATAGTAAATAGTAAATACAAAAAGAAAAATAGTTTAAAAAAGTGAAATAGTGAAATAGTGCAATATTTGACTCCCAATATTAATTGAAAATGGGACAACAACAACGTAACTTTAAATGACAGCGTCACTTACAGTATCAAGGTTTTCTGTAACTGTCAAAGTCTATTCACGTTTATTTTCCACTAACAAGTCCTTAAACACTGCCAGAGCCCATACTGTGTTCCCGTTAGTGTTTACTTCCTGTCTGTCTGTCTTCTTCTGCTGTTCCCGTTAGTGTTTACTTCCTGTCTGTCTTCTTCTGCTGTTCCCTGTAGTGTTTACTTCCTGTCTGTCTGTCTTCTTCTGCTGTTCCCTTTAGTGTTTACTTCCTGTCTGTCTTCATCTGCTGTTCCCTGTAGTGTTTACTTCCTGTCTGTCTTCTTCTGCTGTTCCCGTTAGTGTTTACTTCCTGTCTGTCTGTCTTCTTCTGCTGTTCCCGTTAGTGTTTACTTCCTGTCTGTCTGTCTTCATCTGCTGTTCCCTGTAGTGTTTACTTCCTGTCTGTCTTCTTCTGCTGTTCCCTGTAGTGTTTACTTCCTGTCTGTCTGTCTTCTTCTGCTGTTCCCTTTAGTGTTTACTTCCTGTCTGTCTTCTTCTACTGTTCCCTTTAGTGTTTACTTCCTGTCTGTCTTCTTCTGCTGTTCCCTGTAGTGTTTACTTCCTGTCTGTGTTCTTCTGCTGTTCCCTTTAGTGTTTACTTCCTGCCTGTCTTCTTCTACTGTTCCCTTTAGTGTTTACTTCCTGTCTGTCATCTTCCAACGCATCGTCCAATGCTCTGTCTTTTAACATCTTTCCTTCTCTCTTGATCGTCCTTAGCAATGTTCATTATTTTGCTTAGCAGCGGTGTGTTATTGCTTATTAACAACCTCTGAAGTGTCCAAATTGACCAATCAGAATCGAGTATTCAACTTAGCCATGTAATAATCGTGTTTATAATGTCTATCTCAATATTAACGGAAGTAATTGTGATTCGCCTTCATCTCTCTCCCAGGTACCCATGTGATGGAGGGCTCTGGTAAGATGCTGGTCACGGCTGTGGGGGAAAACTCTCAGACTGGGATCATCTTCACGCTGCTCGGCGCTAGTGAAGACAGTGATGTGGACGAGAAGGCTGAGAAAGAAAAGAAGGAGAAGAAAAAGAAGGAGAGGAAAGACAAGAAAAGTAAGTTCAGAGAATAAAGGGATCGGTTTAATAAGACTGTCAACAAGTTCTCCTCATAGTTCTGGTGACTCGTTAAGAGGAGCAATATAAAATCTGAGAACTACAGACAAAATACAACTGGTAAATATCACCTGAACCTGTGAAGCTCTGATTTCACTCCAACCACTCTGTGTTTATCAAACTGTTAGGGGTTAACAATGAAACTATACAAGAGCAATTCAAGACGGAGATGTTTTGCACACTTGTCAGGACTTGTGAACAATTTGATATTTTTGGGGTTTCATAATTGATGCAAGTGAAATGTCTCTCCAGTATAGCACCCTGTACAAATTTGCTAACAAGCAGCTCCTCATTGTACTTTCACCTACAAGTCTGACATTTGGTAGGCAAATGTAGGATGGTGAGATGCACAAGAAACCCTCTTGGAGACATACTGTAAACCCAACAGGAAGTCGGCCATTTTAATTTGATGTACAAGACCTGGCCATTTCTTGCACTTTTTTAGCCCCATATTTGAGCTAACTCCTACAGTTTTATTCGGATCGACTTTAAATGTGGTCAGTATCATGTAAAGACCATGAGGATCAAAAGTTATCACAAGCTTTTTGTCTACATCATGTCTTTTAACTTGTTTTAGCGCCTACCGTATTTATTTACTTACTAACGTCCTAGCCGTTGCGTGCCGGCAAAAAAAGCACCTTTCGCCAAAAACCACTAACTGTTGCATGTTTTTCTCTTACAGGTAAAAAAGAGGAGAAAGCAAAGAAAGGTGAGCAACCCAAAGCTGCTTTAGTTCTGTGAGGTAGTGTAGTTTATGACTGAGTGGATGTCTGATCTAAGGCAGACTCCTGGTTCCAGGTCCCTGTCCAGTCTTCCTGGTTCTCCCACATGGTGCAATGTGTGTCCCTCTGAGCAGCAGCAGGTGCTCCTGACTCTGTTGCTGGTGATTAGGACAAAACAGATTATCGGCCTTAAGCTCGGCAGCTGCTTTCTTCTCCTGCCTGCCTGTCCCCTAATAAACTCATTACTGAGATGGGATCAGCATGCTCTCACACACAGAGAAACAAACACACACACCTGCAGATACCCTCACTCTCCAGGGCTTCTTCTAATCCGGCCCGTGCACCCTCCCACTGCCTGACAGATTGAACTCTGTTTGTAGTCACATACTGAACGAAGGACCCTTCTGTGAGGTGAAGAGTTATAAATACACAGCCTCAGGACAAACGTCCCTCTCTGCGGGAGAAAGAGGAACTGCTGTAACTTTATTCAACCATATTCTTTATCAGCAGGGAAAATAAAACTCCAATTCTTCTTTGGTGGCATTCTTTTTTGTAAACGACGACTCTAACTGTGATTAGTGAGCTGCTTAGTTTTTGCAAAGTCCCTGTAAATCAAGAACAACACTTCACATCTACTGTTTTCTAGAGACGGGTACATTTGATCCTAATATAATGTAACCTTCAAGTTGTTAAAGTCTATTACAAGAATACATATCTGTCTTAATTGGCTCAGTTAACTATTTGTCGATTATATATGTTTTTATAATGGAGGAAAAAAATGTAATCGTATCTTGAAGTGTGTTTAATTCCCTTGTTTTCTTTAGGAAAAAAAAAGGATGGAGGCCCGGTGGAGATGCAGCCGCTCAACGATGATGGAGAACCGGAGAAGAAGAAAAACCTCAAAAAGGAGAAGTCCGTCCTCCAGGGGAAGCTGACCAAACTGGCTGTGCAGATCGGAAAAGCAGGTACGATACCAATCTGATGAATCAACTGAGCGTCAGTATCATAGTACTCTTCATCAATGAAGCAATCCATTTCACTTTGGTTGTAAAGATGATGATGCCACATATGGGTTTAATTCATTTTGAACAGGACTTGTATAGTTATTCCTCTCCTTCAGAGCTTTTTTATATTAGGGCCCCTTGTAATGTGCTAGGGCTAATTTCATTTTCATGATGCGAGTTGATTTAGTTTGACATGTGTTATTACACCCATATTACACCCATATTACTCTGTTATTACACCACAGTTACACTGTTATTAGACCCATATTACACTGTAATTACATTGTTATAACTCCCATATTACATGGTTATTACAAACCTATTACACTGATGGCACAATAATACATCCTTATTACGCCCATGTGACCCTTTTATTACATCCGTTTTACACCCATATTACTCTGTTATTACACTCATGTTACACCATTATTACAGCCATATTACTCTGTTATTACACCTATATTACCCTGTTATTAGACCCATATTACACCTTAATTACACTGTTATTAGACCTATTTTACACACGGACACAGCTTGTCAAATAAATGTATCCCCCAGGATACAGAAACCGTTTTAGGGTTAAGCACCTACTACATAATAATGACTGATTTTAAATGCCATTTTCGTAATGTCTTTCATTTTTTGTAAAGCACTTTGAATTGCCTTGTGTTGAAAGGTGCTATATAAATAAACTTGCCTTGCCTTGCCTTACACAACTAGCAAATAGTTAAATATGAGATTAAGGATTTGCTATGACTTCATATTGTTATTATATTTCTGTATGTGACACATAGAGCCTACACATATATACTTTTTGACCCCTTATTGTCTTATAATACACACTCAAAGAGGTTGCCTTTTTGTAGATCCATGATAGTTAGGATAAGAACAGTGACTTCACACTCTCTCCAAGGGTTTGTCCTTTTTGTGGACCGTAGAAAACACTTCCTTGATTACTCTGAGTCTATGAGGACAACAGGCTTTTTATTTTTACTTACACTCTCAGTGTCATCTCTAGGCATTGACATAGAGACAATCATTTTCATTTCATCGTTTATTTGAACCGGGACAGTGCACATTGATGAACACTTTAAAACAAAATAATGCTTACAAGTGTAAATGAAAACTATTGAGAGTGGGACAATCCCGTATCTCAGTTGGGAGGCTATTCCACAATGAGCTGCCTTTAATGGAGAGGACATTTTGTCCAAAAGTGGTCCGTCTGCGGTGGACTTCACAGTCTCCTCTGGTTTCTGACCTAGTGCAGCGTCCAGTGTGTTTTCTGTGGATGAATTCCCCTAAGGGAGGGGGGGCCAGTCCATGTAAACATTTATAAAAAAACACATACTTTCAAAATACTTAAAATTGTCAAAACTCAAGAAATTGTGTTTTTCAAGGATGGTACAGTGGTGGCATGAATTTGGCTTTCTGTCAAAAACCTTGATAGCTCTCTTGTACAGCTGTAATCCTAACTTCTCCTTACTGTGCTCAGCATGTGTTGTGCTTATGATCAGGTTTATATCTTTTATATGCGCCATCTACACCAAAGCAAATTCCTCGTATGTGTAACCCTACTTGGTAATACAACCGATCCTGATTCTGAACTAACTTTCACTGTCTCTCTTTGTCTTTCTGTCTTCAGGTCTGTTCATGTCGTCCATCACTGTCGTCATCCTCATCACTCGCTTCCTGATCGACACCTTCTGGATTCAGGGCGTCACGTGGACCAGCGAGTGTGTTCCCGTCTACGTTCAGTTCTTCGTCAAGTTCTTCATCATCGGCGTGACGGTGCTGGTGGTGGCCGTGCCTGAAGGTCTTCCTCTGGCCGTCACCATCTCCCTGGCCTACTCAGTCAAGGTGTGTTAGTATATAACATCACTTATATATCACGACCTATTGGCACCGCTCAAAAGACTTGTAGTGTCAAGAACTCCCAATGAGGTTTGGAAAAAACTTTGAGTTAAATCACTGTAGAATATTCAATATGAAATACCTGAGAATATTCAACAAAAATACAACACAACCAGGGCTAGAAGAACAGAGAGTATTTGATAATAAAATGGATTTAAAAACTGGGATATTCTGATAAAGGCATGACAAAAACAACAAAGGCACTCTCTGATGGACCAGAGAGTGCCTTTAGTGATAGAAACGGTGTTGAAGGGGGAGACCAAGTGGTGGACCTGGGTTCCTTGAGCCAGATTTTAACCCACGTACTGTTATTTTATATACGATTTTGTAAAAACTTTCTACAGTTTTATAGTGCTAATGCCATTTTAACGTAATTTTAGTAGCACACAGAATTGTTTTGGAGCAGTGACCACCTAGAAAAGTAGGTGTGTTAGTGTATAACGTCACTTATATATCACGACATATTGTCACTGCTCAAAAGACTTGTAGCGTCAAGAACTCCCAATGAGGTTTGTCGCTGATGGACCAAAGAGTGCCTTTAGTGATAGAACCAGTATTAAAGGACTTGGCCTGTAAGTTCCTCGAGCCAGATTTTAACCCACGTACTTTTATGTTTTATATGATTTTGTAAAAAAACGCTCTACAGTTTTAAAGTTCTAATGCCATTTTAACGTAATTTCTAGCACTCAGTAGCACCCAGAATGGTCTTTGGCTCTTCGTGGTTGGAGCAATGACCACTTTGGAAAGTAGGTTGATGGACCAGAGAGTACATTTATTGATAGAAACTGTATTAAAGGGGGAGACCAAGGGGAGGACTTGGCCTGCAGGTTCCTCGAACTGGATTTGAACCCACGTACTGTTATTTTCTATATGAATTTGTAAAAATGTAATGTCATTTTTAGCACACAGAATGTTTTTTGGCTCTTCGTGCTTGGAGCAATGGCCACTTTGGAAAGAAGGCTACTAATGGGCCCGTCTGACCCCATTCACACTATCCTGGATAAGAACATTGTTCATACTGTAAATGCTTTGAGTACATTAAAGGTATAGGTAAGTTTGAGAAACCGGCTCGAGATCGCTAGAATTTGAAAATACACAACCGGAGAAAATCTGCCACTTCCTTACAGAGCCCCTCCTCCAACACACACGAACGCGCACATGACCAATGAGGGCACGAGATAAGTTTGTGCACAGATGGAAGGCTGACAGGCAGGTAGGCCATCCAGTTATTTTAGCCGGGCCGGCTAAAATGATTGGTCGTACTTTTTACAGTATTACGGCTTCCCCAGATGAAATTTTTGTATGGATTTGTCAAAGCACTTAAGATATTCATTTCTATCGGGATGTTAAGAGCATTCCATGGAATATAACAAAAAGTGTATCTCGAGCCGGTTTCTCAAACTTACCTACCCTACCTTTAAGAACAAAGCACTCTAATTTAAAGGTCACCTATTATGCAAAATCCACGTTTTCATGTCTTTTAAACATGTGTCCCCTCTGTGTAAAGATATTCTGAAAGTTTCAGGAACAAAGATTCTCTCTCTTTTTGTCCTGATCCATTTATATAAAAACCTGTCTGAAAATGAGCTGATCAGATTTTGGCCACTTGATGTCATAACGATGTTTTGGCTTGTGTAACCATTAGCCAATCAGCAACCAAGGTAACCCCCCCCCACCTTATCACCTGAATCTCCTCCTAGAGCACCATTGTGTTCTTTTTAACCAAATCTCTCTCAGAGGGGCGTGGGGAGGGGCTCCTTATTTTCATCTAAAGTAACAGACAGAGAATCAGCACTTTGGAAACAGGGCTGAAACAGAGGGGATTATGGGATGCTGCAATGATCTGTTTGGTATTTCAGCAAAACACTTCAGAGACATGTTTTGTATATATCTGAGACCTATAATATATTGATAAAAAACAGTATAATAAGGGACTTCTAAGTAATGCTGCGTTTCTTGTTTATTCCAGAAAATGATGAAGGACAACAACCTGGTCCGCCACCTGGACGCTTGCGAGACGATGGGCAACGCTACGGCCATTTGCTCCGACAAGACCGGCACGCTCACTATGAACCGCATGACAGTGGTGCAGGCCTACATCGCGGGACAATATTACAAAAGGTTGCCGGATCCGAAAGACATCCCGGCATCAGCCATGGACCTGCTCATCCAGGGAATAGGGGTCAACTGCGCCTACACCACCAAGATTATGGTGAGCGGTTAAAAATAGCCGGCCGTTCAGGAAGCGCCATGAGAGTTAAGCATTTGGCTGAGAGAGCGGGTTGGTTTGGAGAGCAGCCACAGCTCAGGACTCATCTGATCACTGCAAGGATCACAGCACATGCATACATGATACCAACAGGTGTAGCTTTTAGGGTTTAAGTTCTGTCCAACACACTTTCAACAGCTAATAGCTTATATTCAATTAAAGACTCAAGATGCAAAGGCTTTATTCTCGTATGCACAGTAGCTACAGTGTAGTTATGGCAAGGGAACTTTTAAGTCTGAGGCTCCTCCAACAATGCAACATAAATACACTGAAAAACTGAACCGTTGACTTTAATTAAGTATATATTATTTCAACAAATGTCACACTCTATTGACTGTATTAGGTTAGTCGAAACCAACTACTTTAAAGTGGACCTATTATGCTATATTGGAAAAATATATTGTAGGGCCATACCTATACAAAACATGTCTGTGAAGTGTTTTGCTTAAAATACCAAACAGTTCACCCATTGTAGCCATGCCTCATACTGCTCATACCCCTCTTTTGCAGCCCTGTTAGAGAAACGCGGATTTTGGGTCCTTAGCTTGAAAAAAAAAAAAAAGAGGAGGCGGAGCTAATGCCTGATCAGAATTCTACCGGAGATAAAGTTCAATTCTGCTGTGATAAAACGCCATCCTGTTCTAAACCGAATCAAGGATTATTTCTGAAACAGTATGGAGCTCAAATGCTTTTTCTCTTGCGGGTTTATCACAAGGTGAGTTCCTTTTTTTATTTCCTGCTTTTTAAACACATGTGCTCTCCAGTACAGGTTAGCTCCGAGTGTTAGCGAGGCTTGCTAATGTAAACAAAGACGAGATTACGTCCAAAACACGTCAGGCATTGTTTCTGATAGCAACTTTCTGTGGGTCCACTGCCGATTTGACGTCATATCGGCAGCAAATCTGTATCCGCTCGTTTTTAACCTGTTACGCACCATCCGCCCGGTACCGGGCGGATAAACGCGTCATTTGCAGGAAACAACGTCTAAGGAATCTTAATATTTAATAAACTATGAATGTTTTATATCCATGTAACGGGAAGAAACTCAGCTAACTGATTTTTTAAAAAAAATATCCAAAAAAACCCCACAATGCTAACACTCAGCCTCTGGCTTACCTTGGTCAAAACTGGTCTTCAATGGCATTAAAACGATAAAAAAACGATGCTGCAGTTAATCCATGGGTTAATCCTATGTGTTTGTGTACTCTTTGAAATTATTTCTGATAATCCATAAGCAATAAAACTGCTTTTTCGTTTCCAAATGTCAGAGCGAGAAATCGGTCCACTCTGATGCAAAATTACATGCGCGCAGCCCCCACCTTTTCTCTTCACAACGTGTGTGTGTGGGGGCCTCCCCCTTCGATTCTATTGGCTCTAACGGTCAGAAAGAGGTGTCAACCATCAAAATCGAGCAAGGGGGGCCAGAGATATGGAAAAAAAAACATTTTCACCCAAATCACCTCAGAGGTGGGGAGGTTTTGGCTAAACCTCTCTAAAAAGGTTAAATGTCACTTGTTTTGCATCAATCTTAATACAAGTACTTTGGATTCCTAAAGCTTTTAGTCTACTAACCCATCATCCAAGGGTAGTTTTTGTTACGAACTCAGACACTTAGGATGTAGGACCCAATTGCACGACCCGGGAGACAGAGGTAAAGTATTAGTAAGATACTTTATTTTCCGAAATACAGCAATGAACAACAAAAAAGGTAACTATCAAATCTCTAACCGAGATGACAAAAATAGAGGAACAAAATGAAAGCGCTCACGTAGTGAGGAATCAAACTTTACAAGAGTACAAAGAGCATAGACCTGACCATAGCAAGAGACAATACGAACTGACAAAGAACACTTGGGAGACAGGGGAATATAAGCACAGGGTAACTAGACACAGGTGGGACCAATCAGGGGCGGGGCTGACATTGATGAGCACAGGAGACACAGGTGAAAATAATCAGGAAGCCTGGAATGAGAGAAAGCAAACGTAAATAACATGCATCTCTCTAGCATTTCTGTCGGTGCACAACAGTACCCCCCCCTCTAGGGCCAACTCCTGATGGCCCAGGCTGATTGTAAAAATCGTGGATAAGCGTCTTGTCTACGATAAATGACGCAGCTACCCAGCTTCTAGCCTCAGGACCGTAACCCTTCCAGTCTACCAGGAATTGCTTCCCCCCTCCCCCTATTACGGACCTCCAGTAGCTTACGGACCTTGTAAACCTCACCCCCTTCAAAGAACTCGGGCGGTGGAGGGGGCTTGGAGGCGGGAACAAGTGTGCTCTCGCACACCGGCTTGATTTTACTGACGTGAAACGTCGGATGTACTCTCATAGTTCTGGGGAGTTGCAAGCGTACAGACACCGGGTTGATGACTCTGGACACCGGGAAAGGACCCACAAATCTCGGAGCCAGTTTCTTTGAGGCGACATGGAGTGGTAAGTCCTTAGTGGAAAGCCAAACATTTTGGCCTGGTCTGTAGGAGGGAGCGACCCTGCGATGGACGTCTGCAACAGCCTTCATCCGAGCTGAACTTCGGAGAAGAGCCTGGCGAGCACCAGCCCAAACTCGTCGACAACGTCTGATCATGGCATGAGCCGATGGAACCCTCACCTCTTCCTCGTTGTTAGGGAAAAATGGAGGCTGGAAACCATTGACACAATGGAATGGAGAGAGACCTGTGGCTGCCGTAGGAAGAGTATTGTGGGCAAACTCGACCCATGTGAGGTGGTCACTCCAGGTAGTCTGGTTCCGGGAGACGAGACAACGTAGCGTAGTCTCTAGTTCCTGGTTCAGACGCTCTGACTGTCCATTTGACTGAGGATGATATCCTGATGACAAGCTGACGGTGGCACCTATGAGTCGACAAAACTCCTTCCAGAAAACGGAAATGAATTGTGGACCCCTGTCGGAAACAATGTCATCAGGGAATCCATGGATCCTGAATATGTGATTCATCATGACCTCTGCGGTGACTTTGGCAGAGGGAAGCTTGGTCAATGGGATGAAGTGAGCCATCTTTGAAAATCGATCCACCACTGTTAGGACCGTAGTCTTGCCTCTGGATGAAGGAAATCCTGTCACAAAATCCATTGAAATGTGTGACCAAGGACGTTGGGGAATCGGCAGGGGCTGGAGCAAGCCCATCTTGACTTGTGATGAGGTCTTATTACACGCACACACCGGACAAGCCGCTACGTACTCTGCCACATCTTTCTTCATGGCTGGCCACCAGAAACGTTGTTGTATCCTGAACATTGTCCTTGTTACCCCCGGATGGCACGAAAGCACAGATGAGTGAGCCCAGTGGATGACCTTGGAGTGAAGAGCCTCAGGAACAAACAGCAGATTGTTGGGACACTCGCTAGGTGCTGGATTCTTGACATTCGCCTTTTTTACGTCCGACTCCACTTGCCAGGAAAAGGCTCCGATCACACGGTTAAGTGGAAGGATGGTCTTGGGCTCTACCGCAAGTGGTTCCGGATCATAAAGACGAGACAAAGCATCGGGTTTTTGATTCTGAGACCCGGGACGAAAAGAGAGGGTGAAATTGAACCTACTAAAGAATAGTGTCCACCTGGCCTGACGGGAGTTGAGACGCTTAGCCTTTCTTATATATTCCAGATTCTTGTGATCTGTCCAGACTAAAAACGGCTGCTCTGCACCCTCTAACCAGTGTCTCCATTCCTCGAGGGCAGCTTTTACAGCTAACAGTTCCTTGTTCCCCACGTCGTAATTCCGCTCTGCCGTTGTCAGTTTCCGCGACAGGTAAGCACATGGATGCATCTTGTTGTCTTCTGCAGAACGTTGAGACAGTACTCCTCCAATTCCCTCATTGGAAGCATCAACCTCGACCATAAACTGGCGCTGGGGATCTGGAATGGTGAGTATGGGGGCTGATGTGAATCTCTCTCTGAGACGTTGGAAAGCGAAGTCCGCCTGGGGAGTCCACTTGAAAGGAACCTTAGGAGAAGTCAGAACATGTAGAGGGGCAGCAACAGAACTGAAATTCCTAATAACTTCCTATAGAAGTTAGCAAACCCTAGAAACTGTTGGACCTTCTTCCTGGAGTCTGGTGTAGGCCACTGGGATACTGCACTGATTTTAGCCGGATCCATTTGCATATGATTAGGTGAGATTATGTATCCTAAGAAGGATACCTCTTTTGTGTGGAACTCACACTTCTCTGCCTTGACATATAACTGATTCTCTAGCAGTTTCTGCAAAACCTGACGGACATGGTTAACATGAGACTTAGTGTCTGGGGAGAAAATCAGAATATCATCCAGATACACAAACACTGAAATATTCAAAGATTCCCGTAAAACCTCATTCACAAGAGCTTGAAACACAGCCGGTGCATTGCATAGTCCAAAGGGCATTACTAGATACTCATAGTGACCACTCTGAGTGTTGAATCCTGTCTTCCACTCATCCCCTTTTCTTATTCTAACCAAGTGATATGCATTTCTTAAATCTAACTTGGTGAATATTTTGGCAGTTTGAAGTAGTTCAAAGGCAGATGTCATGAGTGGCAGAGGATAGCGGTTCTTCACCGTAATGTCATTTAGTGGACTGTAGTCTATGCAAGGTCTCAGAGACCCGTCTTTCTTTCCCACAAAGAAAAATCCCGCTCCGGCTGGAGAAGATGAAGGACGGATAATTCCTGATTTGAGTGAAGAGGAAATGTATTCGTCCATTGCTGCTCTCTCAGGTCTCGAAATCGAATAAAGTTTCCCCTTGGGAATGGGGGCTCCCGGTAAGAGATCAATGGGACAGTCAAAATCTCGGTGAGGAGGTAGCGACATGGCTTTGGATTTGTTAAAGGCTTCCTTTAAATCATGGTAACAGGAAGGTACCTTCTGTAGATCAGGATAGTCGGGGTGATCTATAATGATTTTACTAGAGTCTGTTGGTGCATTAACAGGTTGTGAAAGTTTACACCTGCCCATACAATCCTCTCCCCATTCCTTAATTTTCCCTGAACGCCAGTCAATGTGAGGATTGTGGATCTTTAGCCATGGAAACCCCAAAATAATCGGGTGCTGAGCCGACTCAAAAATATGGAATTGCATGCTCTCGGTATGGTCCTTATTCACAGTAATCTGAATGGGCTCAGTGCAATGGGTGACTGTGAACAACAAGCGGCCGTCTAAGGCACTGGCATTAATAGGATGAGATAGCGGAACAGTCTTTATTTCTAGCTGATTTACTACGCCCCAGTCCATAAGACTTTCGTCAGCCCCTGAGTCTATTAACACACCCTGGTCAATGGTTTGATTGTTAATACAAATGTTTACCTGCGTAACAGGTCGAGGAGGAAAGTCTGCGGGAAACTTGCTCACCAGCGCCCTCCTTTTGACTGGTGAGCACGATCTTTTCCCGGGCATGAAGCGAGTTGATGATCCGACTGGCCGCAGTAGAAACAACAACCCTCCCGTAGACGGCGCTGCCTCTCCTCCAGAGAAAGCCTGGTTCTTCCCAGCTGCATGGGTTCCCCGGAGTCATTCGGAAGTGTAATCCTCTGACGGTGTGGTAACATGGGCTGGACATCCTCGGCTGGCGGCGCGACCCACCAAGATGCATTCTGGGAGCTGGGAATAACGTCTCGGTTGCGTCGACGCTCCCTCTCTCTTTCCCGAAGACGGTTATCGATCCGGATGGCCACGGCGATGAGAGATTCCAGATCCCGGGGTGTCTCCAGTGGAGCCAGCTGGTCTTTTATCGGTTCCGAAAGTCCCGTCATGAAGGCGTCACGAAGAGCCGGAACATTCCATCCGCTGTCCGCTGCTGCTGTGCGAAACTCGATGGCGTAATCAACCACCTGGCGGTTGAGCTGGCGTATATGAAAAAGTTTTCTGCTGGCCTCTGTAGCAGGCGATGAGTGGTCAAAAATACGACTCATAGTCTCTATGAAATCGGTCAATGAGTGACATAGTTCAGTTTCTCTTGACCATTCTGCAGTAGCCCAGGCTGCAGCTCTTCCCGTTAAATGAGACACAATAAACGCCACTTTACCATGGTCCGATGAAAAGGCTCCTGGGTTGTGTTGAAAATGCAGATCGCACTGTACCAAAAAGGCTCTGCAATTAGAAGAATCTCCGGAAAATCTCTCCGGAAGAGCCAGCCGTAAAGGGGAAGAAACAGCCTGACTTGGGAAATCAGCTGGAGCATTGACAGGCAACCTCTCAGTTGTGGATGACGTCACCGGAGGAGCAGTCTGTTGGTGAGTGAAAAAATGATTCATTTGGACAGCCAGTTGTTGCATCTGTGTGGATAATGCTTCCTGAATCCCGGCCTGGCGTCCTCTTAGTTCTTGCATTTCCTGGTTGACTAGGCCCAGCTGTTCCTCGTGATGAAAGATCTTCACGCCCTGTGCTGACAGCGCTGCGTGAAGCGTTCTTGGGTCGGCTGGGTCCATAATGGTCAGTTCGTTCTGTTACGAACTCAGACACTTAGGATGTAGGACCCAATTGCACGACCCGGGAGACAGAGGTAAAGTATTAGTAAGATACTTTATTTTCCGAAATACAGCAATGAACAACAAAAAAGGTAACTATCAAATCTCTAACCGAGATGACAAAAATAGAGGAACAAAATGAAAGCGCTCACGTAGTGAGGAATCAAACTTTACAAGAGTACAAAGAGCATAGACCTGACCATAGCAAGAGACAATACGAACTGACAAAGAACACTTGGGAGACAGGGGAATATAAGCACAGGGTAACTAGACACAGGTGGGACCAATCAGGGGCGGGGCTGACATTGATGAGCACAGGAGACACAGGTGAAAATAATCAGGAAGCCTGGAATGAGAGAAAGCAAACGTAAATAACATGCATCTCTCTAGCATTTCTGTCGGTGCACAACAGTTTTCACTATCTGTAAAAAAGAATTTTTGGACGGACACTATAATTTACAGTTTTTTTACTATGTAAAATCTGAATTTTCTTTAAAATAAAAAACATCTATATTGATTCTGACACTTCTACATCCAACTCACAGATGTAACCTTGCTTTGATAAAAAGAAATTATTCATATAACCCTTTTAGAAGTTAAGTTGTAGTCATTTGTTTTGGGCATGTCATTTTCGAGCTTAACAGGTTTGGGTACGGAGGAAAAGAGAAAGGGTTTTATTTTCTGACGCTGCGTGAGTTCCCCGCCACACTGGGGACACATATTTATGTATAAAAGACATCAAAAAGTGCATTTTGCATAATAGGTCCCCTTTAAGTTAAACCAAATGATAAACTTAATATAATTGCTTTGAACTAACCTAATACATTTATGTGAAATACGTACATAATACATTTTTATTAAAGTCAACGGTTCATTTTTGTGTGTGTATATATAGGACATAAAACAATAGAACTAATTATAATAATAATAGTGCAAGAAGAAACAGAGTAGAAATTAAATAGTGCAATATTACCGTATTTTGACCAATGAGTATAAAAGGTGAAAGTACTTGAAACACTCTTCATAGTGCACAATACTTTTTTTATATTATACTATTTATTCCGTTTTTTTAATACTTATACTGCATCTTTGTCAACGTTTTTTAACCCCTGATGATGTTGCATGCCTCTATCTGTTAGTGAGCCGTCCAAAAAAATTCTCAATTGTTTTGTGAACAAGGGGGAGAATATCATGTCCAAAGATCCAGCCCTGGCCCTTGCATTTTTTCCATTTCCATCTTAATTCTTATTCTTTTACCCCATTTCAACCCATTGCATTTTCAGTGTCAGAGAGTATAGTATCCCAAATCAACCCCTCCTCCTGTATCCTAGATATTATCCCTACTAAGCTGTTCAAGTATTTTCCACTGCTGGTAATGTTTTTATAGCAATACTTTCATTATATTTGGTCTGGCCTTTTGCAGACAGTTTTAAATGTTCCATTGTTAACCCATTACTAAAGAATACCAGTTGGACCCCCTGTCCTTAAGTTACAACAGCCTAATCTCCAGAATGGCTTCTTTCTATCTAAGGTCCTTGACATTAAACATATCTGTTTTCTGTTTGTTTAAATCTGTGTTTTGGTCCTGTGCTGCTGCATTTATGAGTTTGATTCCCACACAAGATAAAGATTTGTCATGATATAAATCATGGGTCTGCAACAGGAGTCCCGTGGGCCATTGTTGGCCCGCCAGCAATAATATTTGGCCTGGAAATTTGAAAATAAAAAATATATACATTTTATTTTTTTTTATTCAATTTTTACAATATCGGACCGACAGTCGCACATATAGGCTATAATGTCCGAATAGAGAATCTACCCAACATGCGGTGTGTGGTTTGAAAAAAATAACACCAGCTCACTAAATCATTCCAACGTAATGTTTACTTATATGTGAACAGTAACAAAGTTCAGTCAAAACATTGACTACAAAATCGGAGAAGCCGCTTGATCATGGAGGCCGTTACAAGCTTCAAAGTTGTATTTATCAGTTGAATTTGCCGAAACAAGTTTAATATTCTGAAAGCCAAGACTTTGTTTATTTGAAATCAGATGAAAACAAACTCTCACGGGCCCTGCCGTGTTATGATTACTATACACGCCTTACATTCATAACTTAGCGGGAGGGAGGGAGAGCGGTGCTGCGGAACAGCAGAGTGCGAGTGAGAGGTGCCTGTCATCTTCCCTTCACAAGCTTCAAAAATATATTTATCGTTTGATTTTGGAAATAAAAGTTTCATATTCTGAAAGCCAAGACTTTGTTCATTTAAAATCAAACAAAAAACCCAAACCCCGAAATACAATTTTTTTACACAAATACACGTTTATTTTTAAATGAGCCGTTGCGACTTCCGACTGATTTCGATAGAGCGGGTAACATATACATGCACATGTTTAAGCATGTATGTATATTATTAAGGAATAATTATTCTAGATATCTAACCTTTTGCTCTGTGACATTTTATGATCTACTCTGACGTCTGTTATCTCCTTTAAGGAAAGGCATTGGTGCCATATGTGTTGTTGTCACCAGTTTGTGACCGGTCAACTTGTCTGGCACGAATGGTACTTGTTGTGAGAACGCTGAGGCACTTCTTTATCTGTGTTTGTGAACTCTAAGATGTGAAATCTTTGAGGCCATGAGTGTCGGACGCAGGTGGCTCAGTGTTCCTAGCTATTTAGTCTACTCCTTCAGAGATGTTGATTCTCTGTGAACCAGTTAAAAGGTCTAACATAGAGAGAGGCTCTTCAGAATTGACGTGGCAACTCTACCGTGAAGTCGGAACCTCTGACTCTTTGATTTGTGATGTGAATCCTCCGGCCGAATACTCTGAATAAACCCATCAGTGTTTAACATCAAAGCTCCAACTCTCACCGTGTCTCCTTCCTGAGTCGGTGACTCCATGCATTGCTACACAGAAGTTTCCTCCACATATATGATGTGTGGTTGTGGGGAACCAGGTAAATTAAAGTACTTATTTAACTATTAAATAAATTGAGTTTGATTAAAATACTTGGTTACTGATTAATTTAGGTTATAATATATTAAATAAATTGCAAAGTAAAATATGCTGTAATTTATCAGATTTTTTTCTGAACCGGGGAACAGGGGCGCTGCGTCCTCTTACTTTTAGTGTGCAAAATCAATTACTTAAATTAACCTTTGATTATGTTCTGGCCCGCCATCTAGTGGCTCAGAAAAAAATTGTCCCAAGTCCAAACTTACTTGCCTACCCCTGATATAAATGAACCTCCTGCTGTGCTGTAACCCCCTCTCTGCTGCTGTTTCCTGCAGCCTCCAGAGAAGGAGGGCGGCCTGGCTCGCCAAATAGGAAACAAGACTGAATGTGCCTTACTGGGATTCTCCCTCGACCTGAACCGAGATTACCAGGCCGTCCGCAACGAAATCCCAGAAGAGAAACTGTTCAAGGTCTACACCTTCAACTCTGTGAGGAAGTCCATGAGCACCGTGCTGAAGAACCACGATGGCAGCTATCGAATGTTCAGCAAGGGCGCCTCTGAGATCCTGCTCAGGAAGTACGTTTGGGAGTACTTTTGGTGGTATATTTTTGATGCAGATACTTTTGTATTTTTACTTAAAGTTCACCTATTATGCAAAATCCACTTTTTCATGTATTTTATACATAAACATGTGTCCCCTCTGTATATAGATTATTGATTAAAAACAGTATAATAGGGGACCTTTAAGTAAGATGTCGAATTAAGGACTTTTACTTGTAACAAGTTAAGTAACGAATCTGAGTACTTCTTCCACACCGCTGCTCACACAACTCTGCGCTCAGTTATATGATGATTTCATGACTCCTTCCTGTTGTTAAAGGTGCTGTAAGATCCTGACCACTACCGGCGCAGCCAAACCCTTCAAATCTTGCAACCGAGAAGACATGGTGAAGCAGGTGATCGAGCCGATGGCGTCGCAGGGCCTCAGGACCATCTGCCTCGCCTACAGAGACTTCCCCGCTGCTGAGGGAGAGCCCGACTGGGAAGACGAGGTGCACATCCTCACCGGACTCACCTGCCTCGGCGTGGTCGGCATCGAAGACCCTGTCCGACCCGAGGTACGTCAGACCAGTTGTTATCTACGCGCATCCACATTAATGATCAGATATCGCCGTTTATTTATAGTGGACCTATCATGCTATATTATAATAATATAGTGTAGGACCATACCTATATAAGGCATATTTATACTTTTTTTTTTTTCAAAATACCAAACAGATCATGCATTTTAGCCATGCTTCATTTTGCTCAGTTTGCACTTTTTTACCCCTGTTTTTGCAAGGGCTGATTCAGTGAGAACAGCACCATCTACAGGCCTGGCATATGTACTACAGCATCTCCAGCGCTTTCGAACGGCAATGGCCGTGGCTGTCTCCTCCTGATTGGTGGAGTTGGCCCAATAGCCGTAGCGCCACCGTCCTGACGTCAGGACAGTGTTCAAATCTGGATCAGTTTTTATCAGATCCGTTGCAGCCCCTTTTTTAGAGATTTGGGTATGGAGGAAAATAGAGAGGGTTGTGTTTTCTGACACTTGGTGAGTTCCCTGGAACACCGGGGTCACATATTCATGTATAAAAGACGTACAAAAGTGCATTTTGCATGATAGGTCCCCTTTAAAGAAAAACTGACGAAATACTAAACAAAACTCTAAACTCTTAAACAAAAGATTCAAAGCCATTCGGCGTATCTTGGGTACATTTTCTCATCCAGATTTCACCATGCGGTCTCAATCGTGCGGTTAATAAATAGTTTGCCTTCCACTCATCGTGAAAACCTGTCACCTGTCGTCTATTAAAGGGCCAAAACCACGCCTATGTGACGCCACCATAATAATACATTGATAGTCGGCATCAATCAAAAACATTCATAATATTTAATTATAAATATGAATAAGATAGAAATGCAAAATGGCTTCAACACCAGTCTTCACCTAGGGTAAAGTACAAACTAGAGAATGCAATTCCTGAAGAGATTGCGGTGGGAATGCTGTATGTAAGTTATGTAAAGGGGAGGGGCTAAAGTATGGGGCGGAGCAAAGCTTCACCGATGAAACACGAACTCTGTGCTGAGTACGATGATATTTCCAACGAGAGACTATGGCAAACTGTTCATAAGTTGTGTAAGTTTGAAGAGTTTGACAATTATCTCAATGGGGGAACATTTTGAAGAATTATGGTTAATATTTCTGGAATTATGAAAGATGTCTAGATTAATAGCGGGCATGTCCTAATTGAGCTGCACGTTTAAATGTTCGAACAGAGTTTCTGCGATGTAAAATGTGGCAGAGAAGGGGCAAAAAAATGCGGGGGAATAATAATTTTCCCGATGAAGAACATATGTTGTGAATGTTGACACAGCATTCACAACAAATATACTTTATTTTAATTACTTAATGAAGATTTTTCACTCGTAAAATGATGGCATGAATGTTGTTTAAGCTTATCAGATAAAGGAAATAAGTTTGACTACTACCTGTGCTAATATCTGGAATTCTGAGTTTATCAACAGTAACAGTTTTTGTCATTTAAGTTTCTTTAAATCTAAGTTTCTTTGGTTGTTCCCATCAGGTCCCAGATGCGATCAGAAAGTGCCAGCGGGCGGGGATCACTGTCCGCATGGTGACCGGAGACAACATCGACACCGCCCGCGCCATCGCCACCAAATGTGGCATCATCCAACCTGGAGACGACTTCCTGTGCATTGATGGCAAAGAGTTCAACCGACGCATCCGCAACGAGCAGGGAGAGGTCCGTGTCGGTTTCTAAATCAAATTTTAATATAGTACAGATTGAAAGACCCTATTACATGTCTTCTAGCTCCACCCTTCTGGCACTATACAGATTGTGTCAGTTCTAAAATATAAGATTTTGTGTTGAAGACTTTTGTCAATTTTGGTTTATTTCCTGCCACATAAATGTTCTGTTTTTCCATGCTTTAGGGGACAATTGGTCTGCTAAACTTAAATGAATAAATGTTTTGCAACCAATGCTTCATATTTATGTCTTCTCTCTTTTTATACAGATTGAGCAGGAGCGTATCGACAAGATTTGGCCAAAGCTGAGAGTCCTCGCCAGATCTTCTCCGACAGACAAACACACTCTGGTCAAAGGTTAGTAACTATAGGAGGACAAAGAGACCTGAGGGACACAGAGAGTCAAAGAGTCATACAGGCAGAGATGTTTTTTTAACCTATGTAAAAATGTATAGAAAACAAAGCATGAAATGGGAACCCTGATATCAAATGAAACCAAGAAATCAACAGCTCATCACAGTGGAGAAAACTGGCATTAAGGTGTTTTTAAGGTCCGTCAGAGTACATTAGCTATCGTCCTGATTTGGTCCATGAATTTGTGTCTCATTTTTGTTTCTGCTGTCATTTCTCAGGTATCATCGACAGCACTGTGCTGGAGAAGCGTCAGGTCGTCGCTGTAACTGGAGACGGAACAAATGACGGCCCCGCCCTCAAGAAAGCAGACGTCGGCTTCGCTATGGTGAGGATTTCATCAAACTGCTGCCTTTAGCAAACTTTGTAACATTTCCCATCGAGTAGTGAGAACAATCTTTAATATCAACAAACAAATGTCCAGCAGAACTTTGAACGTCCTGGTTGCTGTGGCTCCGCCCCCAGATCTTCAGGTTATTCCAGGTTTTTTTTTTTTTTCAGGTCATGTTCTGAATCTATTGTTTATTCCATCGACTCAAATTTGACGATTGATTGTGCTTTTTTACATTTTTATCAACTAGTTTCTCCATTCCTCTCAGAAAGGACAGTTTCTCTATCCACCCCTTACTGTTTCTCAATGGGATCCACTGATGGTTAGACCAATCGGAGTTGTGTGAAAAGCATTTTAATGGTTTTAGATCATTCTTCACGTACAAACAGACAGCGGCAGGTTCAGAATCTCAATCTCAATCTTTATTCATTTATATAGCACATTTAAAACAACCTCAGGGGACCAAAGTGCTGTACAGGCAATACAAACAATGTAAAATAACACAATGGGAGTGAAATAATAAAACAATAATTAAAAACATGATGAAAAGCACAATAACTAGAAACATATAAAAACACACTAGTACTAAAAGCCAGGGCAAAGAGTTTAGTTTTTAGCTGAGATTTAAAAAGTTCAATAGACTAAGCAGCCCGGATATGTACTGGGAGGCTGATTAAGTGGAAGGATTATAACTTTATAACACTTGCTTTGTTGTGCAGGGCATTGCGGGGACGGACGTGGCAAAGGAGGCGTCGGACATCATCCTGACAGACGATAACTTCAGCAGCATCGTGAAGGCTGTGATGTGGGGCAGGAACGTCTACGACAGCATCTCCAAGTTCCTGCAGTTCCAGCTCACCGTCAACGTGGTGGCCGTCACCGTGGCCTTCACCGGAGCCTGCATCACCCAGGTGAGAAACACTGAAAACACTGAAATAACCAGAGATGGCAAAAAAAGTACACACATCCTTTACTCAAGAAGAAGTACGGATACTCGTGTTTAAAAATACTCTGGTGAAAGTAGAAGTACTGACCATACTTCTTTACTCAAGTAAAAGTAAAGAAGTATGGGCTTTGAAATGTACTTCAGTAAAAAGTACCCATAACTAGCAGCTGTTTTAAAGAGTACCTGACCTCCCTTTATATTAATAGATCAATAATGTCATTGTTAGCTAATGAATGTTTCCATGCTGAACAACGGCAACATGACAACGTTTTCATTGGTCCCTCTTCTTTAGAGAAGACCAGGAAATGATGGATACACGGATCGTGTTCAAATCAATAGGCACGCAATGACTCTAAATAATAATGATCACGCCACCAAACACACATTCAAACTAAAGTAACCAGCCTGTTTGGAAAATGTAAGAAGTAAAAGTAAAAAGTCGTCAGAAAGATAAGTAGTGGAGTAAAGTACTGATACCAGAAAAATGTACTTAAGTACAGTAACAAAGTATTTGCACTCCACTACTTCCCACCTCTGGAAATAACATAAGCCTTTGATAGTCTTAATAGTCCAACAGCGTCTGCAACCAGAACATCTAATGGCTCCTGGCTCAGAGATTTTGACTTTGTAGCCCATGATTGAAATGAGCAGGGAGAAGATAGTCCTATTTAACCCCTTACTCAAAAATAGATGGTCTGTCAATCACAGCTGCTCACAACCAATACTTACAGTAACATGAAACCAAAAACACAAATCTAAAGTCAACACAGCAATCTATCATCGGAAAAACAAGTATCATCATCCGGGTTGAAGGTCACCTATTGTGCAAAATCCACTTTTTCATGTCACTTCTTCATCAACATGTGTCCCCTCTGTGTAAAGAGACTCTGAAAGCTTCAGGAAAAAAGATTCTCTCTCTCTTTTTGTCCTGATCCATTTATATAAAAACCTGTCTGAAAATGAGCTGATCAGATTTTGGGCACTTTATGATGTCATAAAGATGTTTTGTCTTGTGTAACCATTAGCCAATCACCAACCAAGGTAACCCCCCCCCCCCCACCTTATCACCTGAATCTCCTCCTAGAGCACCATTGTGTTCTTTGTAACCAAATCTCTCTCAGAGGGGCGTGGGGAGTGGCTCCTTATTTTCATCTAAAGTAACGGACAGAGAATCAGCACTTTTGAAACAGGGCTGAAACAGAGGGGATTATGGGATGCTGCAATGATCTGTTTGGTGTTTGGAGCCAAACACTTCAGAGACACGTTTTGTATATATCTGAGACCTATAATATATTGATGAAAAACAGTATAATAGGCGACCTGTAATTATTATTTTCCTCATACATCATATCCATGTGTGTGTCTCCAGGACTCCCCTCTGAAGGCAGTGCAGATGTTGTGGGTGAACCTCATCATGGACACCTTCGCCTCGCTCGCTCTGGCCACCGAGCCGCCCACCGAGGATCTGCTGCTCCGGGAACCGTACGGACGCAACAAGCCGCTCGTTTCCCGCACCATGATGAAGAACATCCTCGGACACGCCATCTACCAGCTGACTGTCATCTTCACCCTCCTCTTCTTGGGTCAGTGAATTAGTGATGGGAATTATGGCTCTTTGAAGGGAGCCGGATCTTATGGCTCCGTTCCTTTCAAAGAGCCGTTCAAAAGAGCCGTTTTTTAAAAGGGGGCGGGGTTACTAGGTTTATCTGCGAAATAATCACCAGGATAATGATTGACTGTATTGTCAGACCTAATGTCAATAATCGGCATTGTAAACATGACACAAGGTGGCGCCATATCCATGTCATCATGTCAGTGAATGTACTTTGAATTTACCCTCTGTATGTGTTAAGTAAATAAAGTTGCCTTGCCTTGAATGAAATTCATGCAACTCTTAATATTAGATAGTGTGTTTTTAAGTGGCGATGGAGATTATTTGTTGACCCTGCTTTAAAGGATATTTTGCCTTTACAAATGGTACGCTTTATCACTGCCTGGGTTTTGGTTGAAGTGCATCCAAATGCTGCTGCGTTTTCGCGTTTGGCTCATTTTCCATCCGAAAAACACATCATCTACCTGTCCTGTACCACTTGTTATGACTTCTCTCTCTCGCGTATTCCGTTAAGATCAACCCCACCTAACTCCTCGTGCTGAAACCTACCAATCAGAGTAGGGGCGGGTCTTCACAGAATACGTTTGGGGAACAAAATCAAGCTTTTTAAAAGGTGAGTGGATTTTGGCAGGCAGTGAGTGCGGACCAACGATTGAACGATAACAAGAACGGCTCTCACCAAGGAGGACTCGGTTCCCCTCGTTCGTACCAAAGAGCCGTTCAAAAGAATCGGCTCGTTCGCGACCGACACATCACTACAGTGAATGCAGTAAATCTCACCAGAGGTGGAAGTAGTGGAGTACAAATACTTTGTTACTGTACTTAAGTACATTTTTCTGGTATCAGTACTTTACTCCACGACTTATTTTTCTGACAACTTTTTACTTTCTACTTCTTACATTTTCCAAACAGGCTGGTTCCTTTAGTTTGAATGTGTGTTTGGTGGCGTGATCATTATTATTTAGAGTCATTGCGTGCCTATTGATTTGAACACGATCCGTGTATCCATCATTTCCTGGTCTTCTCTAAAGAAGAGGGACCAATGGAAACGTTGTCATGTTGCCGTTGTTCAGCATGGAAACATTCATTAGCTAACAATGACATTATTGTTCTATTAATATAAAGGGAGGTCAGGTACTCTTTAAAACAGCTGCTAGTTATGGGTACTTTTTACTTAAGTACATTTCAAAGCCCATACTTCTTTACACTTTAGTTGAGTAGAGGATATGTGTACTTTTGCCATCTCTGAATCTCTGTCCACATTTCTTTCAGTGTACAATTTATGTATTTTTGTATAAAAACATGGACAGATTAAATGGGTTAACTTGACCCTCTCTTTCTCAGGTGAGAACGTGTTCAACATCGACAGCGGCAGGTATGCCCCCCTCCACGCGCCGCCCTCCGAGCACTACACCATCGTCTTCAACACGTTTGTCCTCATGCAGATCTTCAATGAGCTCAACGCCCGCAAGATCCACGGCGAGAGAAATGTGTTTGACGGCGTCTTCAAGAACCCCATCTTCTGCTCCATCATCCTGGGAACCTTCATCTTACAGGTGAGCTGTGAGGGGCGGAGCTAGACCTACGATACGATAATACTTTATAGTCAGCTCAAGTTGGAAATGTTTCTTCCTTCAAGGGGAAATATTAAGACATGAATACAAGGAAATAGACATTTAAAGGGGACCTATTATGCAAAATCGACTTTTTCATGTCTTTTCTACATCAACATGTGTCCCCTCTGTGGAAAGAGATTCTGCAAGTTTCAGGAAAAAAGATTCGCTCACTTTTTGTCCTGATCCATTTATATAAAAACCTGTCTGAAAATGAGCTGATCAGATTTTGGCCAGTTTATGATGTCATGACGATTTTTTGGCTTGTGTAACCATTAGCCAATCACCAACCAAGGTAACCCCCCCCCCACACCTTATCACATGAATCTCCTCCTAGAGCACCATTGAGTTGTTTTTTACCAAATCTCTCTCAGAGGGGCGTGGGGAGGGGCTCCTTATTTTCATCTAAAGTAACAGACAGAGAATCAGCACTTTGGAAACAGGGCTGAAACAGAGGGGATTAAGGGATGCTGCAATGATCTGTTTGGTGTTTCGAGCCAAACACTTCAGAGACATGTTCTGTATATATCTGAGACCTATAATATATTGATGAAAAACAGTATAATAGGGGACCTTTAACATAACATTAGAATCACTGAAAAACAACTTGATTGACTGGTGCAATGCTTCAGTCTTACTTCATCAAATACCCTGTAGCTCATATTCGATGGTATGAATTCAGATTCAGTATTCAGGACATTGTTTTGGTCAAAGACAATGTTGTTTGCCAGCCTCACTATGTTGTTATGGTAGGCTGAATCATAGAGTTTCTCACTGACCTACAACCTCCGCCCAGGTCACAAACTGTTCCCACAAACTGATACAGGGGCTTTAAAACTCGGACAAACAGACTCAAAAACTTCCCCTGAGCCACCAGGCTGCTAGCCCAACAGTCCTAAGTGCAATACCTTTCAATGACCTAACTCATATGCATTTTATGTATGTTTTTAATGCACTTTATAGCTTGTAATGCCATTGCTATTAACTATTTATTCCCCACTGGATAAGTGTTTATGTTCGTCTGCCCTACTAGGGTGTTGTTATTGTTTGTCTGCTGTCGTTACTCAGACTATGACAGGGTTTGACTCCAAAATCTTGTTGTATATTTTTGTACAATGACATTAAAGGATTTATTTTCCATTCTCTTCTGTATGACGATGTTTTTCTCTCCTCTTGTAGATTCTAATTGTCCAGTTTGGTGGTAAACCGTTCAGCTGTGTGTCTCTGAACATGGAGCAGTGGCTGTGGTGCGTCTTCCTGGGTATCGGCAGTCTGCTGTGGGGACAGGTGAGGCTACTTTTAATTTGATATGAGACAGGAAGTGATGGGAGAGTAAGGCAAGGCAAGGCAATGCACGTTTATTTATACAGCACCTTTCGACAGAAGGTCATTCAAAGTGCTTTACAAAGATTGAAAACATTAAGAACATTAAAAGTCACCTATTATGCAAAATCAACATGTGTCCCTCTGTGGAAAGAGATTCTGAAAGTTTCAGGAAAAAAGATTCTCTCTCTTTTTGTCCTGATCCATTTCTATAAAAACCTGTCTGAAAATGAGCTGATTCTTTTTAACCAAATATCTCTCAGAGGGGCGTGGGGAGGGGCTCCTTATTTTCATCTAAAGTAACAGACAGAGAATCAGCACTTTTGAAACAGGGCTGAAACAGAGGGGATTATGGGATGCTGCAATGATCTGTTTGGTGTTTGGAGCCAAACACTTCAGAGACACGTTTTGTATATATCTGAGACCTATAATATATTGATGAGAAACTGTATAATAGGGGACCTTTACGAACATTAAGAAATAGTGCAGCAGAAACACATTGCAACATGGGATTTAAAAACAGTCATTAAAAGGCAAAGAGAGTAAAATAAACACAAGACAAGCTAATATAGAATAACACAGGTATAAAATACATGAATAAAAAGTTACAGTGCAGATAACCTCACCCTCAGGTGGCAACATACTGAGGTCCCACAGGAATTGCTGTTGTTGTGTCTGACTGCAGTGTGTGTTGTGTGTTTCCTCCTCTCAGGTGGTGTCCAGTGTTCCCACCAGCTGGCTGAAGTTCCTGACGACGGCGGGTCACGGCACTCAGCAGGACGAGATCCCCGAGGAGGAGCTGGAGGACATGGACGACCTGGACGAGATCGACCACGCAGAGATGGAGCTGAAGAGGGGACAGGTGCTGTGGTGCCGAGGACTCAATCGCATCTCCACACAGGTACTGGACTCATCTTTAGCATTTTCATTGCTTTTATTTTACATTTTAAATTTTGTTTTTTAAATTGTTTTATTTTAACCTATTTTAATTTATTGGCAGCTTTATTTCAATGGAATTTCATTAGGTACACTGTAGATGTTTTATCATGTTCTGTATTTATTTTTAATATTATTTTAATATGGCTGCTTTCTGCATGAAAGGTGCTATACAAATAAAGTTTATTTTTATATTATTATTATTATTATTAGAAGGAAAATTCCTATGTTTCGTTCAGGTGATTGAGTTCGGGTCCAAATCATAGAAAAACTGAGAAGATGTTAACTACAATTTTCACAACTTTTATGTATTAGGTATGTATAGATGTTATACATTTACATGGCAGGGGGATAACTTAACCTTCTTCCTCAATAGTTCCAACTTTAGTTTGTATCGTGGACTATCAGTTTAGGTGGTCGGGATTACTAGATGTGGAAAAGCTAGTGAATTCATTTAAATTTTCCGCACTCTCGCGGGAATATCTCCGCAATGGAGTGAGCTTAAGTTTCACTTTCGATTGAATGATATAGCCCAGCGCAACACCTTCGTCAAACATGTTGCCACTTGTTTGTACCATTTTCAGGCGATTTGTAATCTGTTCTAGAAAAACAATGTGTTTTTTAGGATTTCAAGAAGCGTATAAAACAAACAATGGATGTATTTCATGAACCTTTATCCATGCTGAAAGTAGATTTAGATGTTTTAGGAGTGAGATAGAGATTATTATCTAATATATGCATCCAATGAAGCATTGCATGAAGTCTGTTGATGATCAGAGGCTGTTGTTGGGGCTGCATAAACGTTTTTTTATTTTTGTTTAGGCAGACCATGCAGGCCTCAGAGAGTTAAACTTGGGCCTGCGACCATAGTTTTACTGTATTATGTTTTGAAAACAGAGGTTTGTGTCGTACTACATGCGGTGTGTTTTGCATATCTCTCAGTAGTCTGTTGTCTCGGACATAAACTCCGTAATAAATATAGTCTACATTTCATAAGAGGTGTAAAACCTGAGAGCATTTTAAATCGCATTTGAACAAAATGCTTATGATCTGTAGTTGTATTTGTATTGTTGATTTATTGTGTGAACGAGGCGATACAGAGAAGGTTAAGCTGTCATTATTAGGCTGTTATGTACTGTTGGAGTGGTAAGCAGGCCTATTGTTTTTGGATAGTGTTTTTTTATTGGTTAATTGTCCTTGGTATGAAAATGTTTGAGAAACACTGCGCTAGTGGATTGTCAACGGGTGGAGCCTCGCTGCGGGGAAATTATACAGATGGCCAGTCCGCCCCTGAAAAATGTCTATGCACACGTTATTATTAATAATATTTTTTTTATTTACAATTTGTATTTTGTAATCATCTCGGGTCGCGACCCCCACTTTGGGAACCCCTGACCTAGAAGAGCATCAGGACTGTTTTAGGCATATGATAGCTATGTGATTAACATGATGATTCAGCCTCTATGGAGATAGACATATGACAAGCATGATCATTTCTGACGTGGAGCTAATCTGAAGTAAACATTGAATACTGCTTTATATTCCTCCATCTTGTGACTGTGTAACTCCCTCTCTTGGATATCAGCATGTGAAGGACACTGTTCAGGAACTAGTTGATGCTCTGTATGTGATGACTACTTCCATTCTGGAGAGGATCAGAAATACATGGATCCTGAGATTGAAGCTCAAGCCGGTGACGAGTGATATTTTTCTAACAGTTTTCCTTTGTGTTTTACAGATTCGTGTAGTGAACGCCTTCAGAGACACGAAGTACGAAGGACTCGAAACAGTTGAGTCTCGCAACTCCATCCACAGCTTCATGAGCAACCCGGAGTTCCGTATCCATGATTCAATGCCTCAGATCCCCCTGATCGATGAGGCCGATTGTGAGGACGAACCCCCGACCAAACGAAACTCCACCGTTCCTCCGACGCCAGAGACCAAGCCGTCGCCCCAGCCGTCGCCTCAGCCGTCGCCCCAGCCGTCGCCCCAGCCAACACTCCCGACAACGCTCCCGACTTCGCCCAACCAGAACAACAACGCGACGGAGCGCAGGATCCCTCTCCCCGGCCTGGCAGCGCTTAACTCAGCCGGGTTACCTCCGTGTCCGGGGAGCCCGCTGCACAGCCTGGAGACGTCACTCTGAGGCCCACATACAACCACTTCCTGTCACGAATGTCTCAACGAGAGTTCTGGTTCTTCCGAAAGAACGAAAATACATTTTAAAAACTTGTTTCGATTGGTTCCCGTCAGGACTTCACCTGCCGGTTTTTAGAATCCAGGAAGCAGAAATGTTTCCGCTGTGTTTGTGTTTGTGTACTGAGCGGCGGTGCAGCTTCACACGGACTCAAGTTTCTTTATTTTTACTAGACATGAACTCTGCAGTTGTTGTTTAGAAGAAGACGTGTTTGTAAGGTGATCAATAATCCGTTTCTGATCTGTAAATATTGATGTTGGTGTTCAGACGTAGTTTCAGTTTGTCATCAACGAGCTGATTCAGGTTAGTTTTGTGTCGAGTTTTTAACTTTGAGGATCTGTGACTGAAATGTTTAGTCAGTCACCTTTGATGAGGATGGGTGGGGGGCTGTTCTTACAAAAATATGTGTTTGTAGACAGAAAAGTTTTAAGTAATTGTTTATTCATTGGATTTTATTCTAGTATTTTTGTAAAACAAAACGTTATAGGTTGTTGTCGTTTCAAAAGATGTTAAAACCAAAAGTAATTAAATTTTAAAAACAACAACAGAGTGGGATATTTGTCATATCAGACAGAAAAATAAATGTTTCAGTTAATACAGAGAAACTGATAATTTTACCTTCATATCAACCTTCAAAGCTCTGCACCATTTAAAATGTATTTATGACACCATCTAGTTCTCCTTTATTTGCTGTGGGTAAATTAATCTACAGCTTGCACCACATTCTATAAAGTTATCAAATGTGTGTAGCTTTGTCCTGTGAGACCCACGTATCTCTAAAGAGTAATTTTTCATGAGTTTTTCAGAAAAACAGCCTGTTTTCAACTTTGTGGCAATGCATTTTCCAGCTGATCCAAGAGAAGACTATATTTAGCCTATCATAAACATACTTGTTTTTCACCTGACAGGAAGGGAGTGTGGAGCAGAAGTATTACGTTGATTTGAGTGGAAGTGCAAATCTTAAAGGTAGGGTAGGTAATTCACTTCAGAAACACTTTTTGTTATATTCCATGGAATGCTCTTAACATCCCGATAGCAATGAATAAATTAAATGCTTTGACAATAAATATATACAAATATTTCCTCTGTGGAAGCCGTGGCTGTAAAAAGCACGACCAATCATCTGAGCCGGCCCGGCTAAAATAACTGGATGGCCTACCTGCCTGTCAGCCTTCCATCTGTGCACAAACTTATCTCGTGCCCTCATTGGTCATGTGCGCGTTCGTGTGTGTTGGAGGAGGGGCTCTGTAAGGAAGTCTGAAGGAAGGGGCAGATTTGTTTAGGTTGTGTACTTTCAAATTCTAGCGCACTCGAGCTGGTTTCTCCATTCTTACATACCCTACCTTTAAGTACAGTATTTAGTAAATCGAGTTAATTACAATTCACCTTTGATGAGAGGCGTGTGGTGCAGTGGGTTGTGCGTTGGTGTTCGGATCAGGGGGTCAGGTTCAAACCCCACTGCAGTCAGCATGTCGTTGTGTCCCTGGGCAAGACACTTCACCCCAAATTGCTCCTGTGGGGATTGCCCACAGTATTGAGTATGTAAATCGCTTTGGATAAAAGCGTCTAACAAGTGACATGTAATGTAATGTAATGATCCTGACAGGAAACAACAGCTCCCCCTGGTGGATGATTTGCACATGGTTCCTGCTTCACACTGGAAGCTGCCCAGTTCAACCACTAAGTTGTGTGTTCTCCAGCTCAAAATGTTATCACATTCTGCAGGGATCTTCTTCTTACAATACATTTTCCTAATCGTCATTAAATACTTTTAATCAGGTACCATTCTCGATGCAAATTGAGTATTTTTACAGTGTGGTATTATCACTCTAACTCAAGTGAAGATTCTGAATACTTTAACCACTTTAACCATTGGAAATCGGATGATCTGATACAGTTTAGTCCCTGCAAAGACTAAAGACAAATAACCGATACAACTCAAGAGCATCACTCTGACGTGTATTTTAGTTTTTCTATTATTTACCGTCAAGTTATAAATTGTAGCCCAGAAACAACAAAACGGTAGTTTGGTAAAGTTAGCAAGATATTGACGGATTCGAACTTGACGACCAATAATTAAAGCACATTGTTAAAAAATTAAATAATAAGTGGCTGCCGGGCTTAGAAAAGTAGAAAAATAAATAATTATAATTAAAACAATTAAATAATACAAGAAAAACAATACAAATAAATAAATAAAATATAATTATTCAATTTCATAATTTGTAGAAAAAAATATAATAAAAACATACAATAAATATTATAAATAATAATAAGGTACATAAATGCATTAATAATAATACAACTATTCCAAACAATATAACCACAACACTGCCATAAATACAATTAAATTATAACAATAAAGGAATATCCTTAAAATATAATAATAAAAACCATAATAATAATAATAAAACAATACAAAATATAATAACAAAAAATACAAATATAATAACTATATAATTAATAATGTATATAAAAAGTATGAAAATAAAACATCAATAAATGACGAGGGACGGGTGACAATTCTGGTCATGTGATCAACTGAGTCCAGATCAATTCCTCATTGATCAAGCAGCTGCATGGCTCAGTTGATAGAGCAGGTGTCCCGTAACTTTGTGTATATGGGTTCAAATCCCATCCTTGGCAGTACATTTCAGTATAGATACATAGATACATCAGCCTTTAACACTGTAGGCCTATCTGCAAAAATACTTTCACCCAAATCATGCCTTAAAAAATATATTTCTAAAAAGATATTAACCAAAATTCAACATATACATTTATTTGATCAAATAAAAGTATTTGTACCCTAAACAAAGTATTAATGTAATGTAGAATAACCAGCAGGGGAAGTGTTAGACGATGTGTGAAGTGACTTTGATCATTTTTCGGTGTTGCTGCACCTTGCAGACGACGGTGAACGGGACTACAACCCCCAGAGTTCTGTTCACGCTCGCGTCACCAACTTCCAGCCAATGGTTGACTGACTACGGGTCACCTGACCAGCACCGCAGCAGATTTGAATGTGTGTGGTGGTTTATGTGTTTTCCGTGTCGCCGTTTTGAATGCAGAGCAGAAAATAACCTTTGAGAGTTGTAAGAGGCGCTTCAGGTTTGTTGTGTTTTAATGTAATGACACTGTGACTTCCGTGGACTTAACGTCATGTTGGAATTCTCAATGTAAAGCTATTAATTAGTTAACATTTGCTTCAGCTGGTTTGCGAACCAACGGGCTAGCATGCTAAAGTTAGCATGACGAGTAACGTTCGTGTTTTAACTGTTAATCAGTGGTGTAAAGTAACTAATTACGTTTACTCAAGTACTGTATTTAAGTATACTTTTGAGATATTTGTATTTTAATATTTCCATTTTATGCTACTTTGTACTTCTACTCCACTACAGTTCAGAGGTAAATTGTGTACTTTTACTCCTCTACATGTATTTAATACCTTTAGTTACTTCACAGATGTGGATGAATGATGTGAAATATAATCAAGTGTTAAATCAGACTTTAGTTCCACCTGGAGTAAATTCACAAGCTACCCTGCAGTATACAAAGTCATTCAAACTAGCTGCACCTTTAACAGCTTTGAGAACACTTTAATGATCAATCATTATAAAACATATCATATATATTATTCTGAAATGGACCAATCTGCACAATGACTACTTTTACTGTCGCTACTTTCACTATATTTTGATGAGAATACTTTTATACTTTTACTTGAGGAACATTTTGAATGCAGGACTTTTACTGTAAAAGAGTATTCCTACACTCTGGTACTTCTACTTTTACTCAAGTACATCTGAGTACTTCTGCTTTTACTCAAGTACAAGATCTGAGTACTTCTACTTTTACTCAAGTACAATATCTGAGTACTTCTACTTTTACTCAAGTAAAAGATCTGAGTACTTCTATTTTTACTCAAGTACAACATCTGAGTACTTCTCCCACCTCTGTTTGTCAGAAGTTATTATACAATGTCATAACATGTGTTAATGTACTGTTGCTGCAGGTGTGATCTGGATCAATCTGTATCCCACAGAGAGGAGACAACATCGGGATGGACTGTCGAGCTAACAGCGGTAGGTTAACACTAAAGCCAGAGTCTGTGTGTATTTAAACACACCATTTGTTTTGTTACCTCTTTTAAACCCGTGTTTATGTCTCCATACAGATATGTTCTTTCTGGCTGATGAGAAATTTGACTTCGATGTTTCTCTGTCACCTGCCAGGTAATTTCCTCTCAGCTGTGATTCAATTTAAATAGCTTTATTGGCATGACCATAATGACATACAGTATTGCCAAAGCTTTGTACAATTATGATATCCATACATAATCCTTAAAGGTGGGGTAGGTAATTTTGGAGAAACCAGCTCGAGTGCGCTAGAATTTGAAAATACACAGCCGGAAAAAATCTGCCACTTCCTTCCAGAGCCCCTCCTCCAACACACACAAACGCGCACATGACCAATGAGGGCACGAGATAAGTTTGTGCACGAGATGGAAGGCTGACCGGCAGGTAGGCCATCCAGTTATTTTAGCAGGGCTCAGATGATTGGTCGTGCTTTTTACAGCGCCACGGCTTCCACAGATTAAATATTTGTATATATTTATTGTCAAAGCATTTAATTTATTCATTGCTATCGGGATGTTAAGAGCATTCCATGGAATATAACAAGTGTTTCTGAAGTGAATTACCTACCCTACCTTTAAGATTTGCACTTCCACTCAAATCAACGTAATACTTCTGCTCCACACTCCCTTCTTGTCAGGTGAAAAACAAGTATGAAGGCTGACAGGCAGGTAGGCCATCCAGTTATTTTAGCCGGGCCGGCTCAAATGATTGGTCGTGCTTTTTACAGTATTACGGCTTCCACAGATGACATTTTTTTATGGATTTGTTGTCAAAGCACTTAAGATATTCATTGCTATCGGGATGTTAAGAGCATTCCATGGAATATAACAAAAAGTGTATCTCGAGCCGGTTTCTCAAACTTACCTACCCTACCTTTAATAAACGTTTTAAACAAAAGCAATTATAACACAAACTAGAAATCCTTTAACTGTGCCTTTATCGTTGCATTTTTAGCTACAACCATTATTTTATCGCTTTTATGAATTGTCTTTTTTGTCTTTGTTTTGTTTTGAATTATTATGTGTTAAATGCCTATGTAAAGCCCTTTGAATTGCCTCTGTTTCTTAAAATGTGCTATACAAACAAACTGACCTTGAACCTTGATTAAAATAAACAAACAATAGAAAAAGTTGTTCTATCTAAAAGTTGATATTTCTCTCTGCAGCTCCAAAGGTGATGAAGATGAGGACGAGGTGTTCATGGGTCCGGTCAGCCATGCGGAGAGGTGCGTCTCTGTCAACGTGACGTCGCGTCTTGAGAATGTCGGCGGCGTGCGTGCGAGCTGGAGTCCTCTGAGCGGAGATCAGCTGGATGCCGTGTGTCAGGAAGCACACAGACTGGCCGACCAGCTGCAGGACAGAAAACCCAATCAGAGCATCAACGTGACCGCCGACGTCACCGCCAACATGACCACCAACGTGACCGCCGACGTAACCGCCGACGCCACATCTCACAGGGACGAGTTTGTCCAGAACGCTGAGGCCAAACTGGGCATGTTGGATCGCATCCCGAGTGCTCTGAGCCCCATCAAACGGGAGACCTTCTGCGTGCAGGACAGTCCCATGAAGCAGCTGCCGCCCGCCGTGCAATTCCGCCTGCTCAGAGGAAGCAGCTCCAACACTATGTCATCCACCCAACCTTCAACCACCAACACTGTGCCATCCACCAGACCTGCTTCCACCAACACAGCTTCCTCCACCCGACGCTCCTCCGTTACCCTCCCTTCATCCTCCCGCCCCGCAGCCACCTCCAGACTCAGCACCTCCACCTCCATGGCGGGGGGGGAAGCCTCAGCTCAGGACGGGGCTTCGGGGGAGGGCGGCGCTGGGCAACGTGCTGCCGAGCAAACCTGCCGCCCCGACAACTTCCTGTTCATCCAGCAAGAGCCAGGTGGAGAAAACCAGACTGCAACCGCCGAGACAAGTAGGAGAGACGTTTTTCTTTTTCCATCTATTATGCAAAATCCACATGTTCATGTCTCTTCTACATCACCATGTGTCCCCTCTTCTTCATGTCTCTTCTACATCAACATGTGTTCCCTCTTCTTCATGTCTCTTCTACATCACCATGTGTCCCCTCTTCTTCATGTCTCTTCTACATCAACATGTGTCCCCTCTTCTTCATGTCTCTTCTACATCAACATGTGTCCCCTCTTCTTCATGTCTCTTCTACATCAACATGTGTCCCCTCTTCTTCATGTCTCTTCTACATCAACATGTGTCCCCTCTTCTTCATGTCTCTTCTACATCAACATGTGTCCCCTCTTCTTCATGTCTCTTCTACATCAACATGTGTCCCATCTTCTTCATGTCTCCTCTACATCAACACGTGTCCCCTCTTCTTCATGTCTCTTCTACATCAACATGTGTCCCCTCTTCTTCATGTCTCTTCTACATCAACATGTGTCCCCTCTTCTTCATGTCTCTTCTACATCAACATGTGTCCCCTCTTCTTCATGTCTCTTCTACATCAACATGTGTCCCATCTTCTTCATGTCTCCTCTACATCAACACGTGTCCCCTCTTCTTCATGTCTCTTCTACATCAACATGTGTCCCCTCTTCTTCATGTCTCTTCTTCATCAACATGTGTCCCCTCTTCTTCATGTCTCTTCTACATCAACACGTGTCCCCTCTTCTTCATGTCTCTTCTTCATCAACATGTGTCCCCTCTGTGTAAAGAGACTCTGAAAGTTTCAGGAACAAAGATTCTCTCTCTTTTTGTCCTGATCCATTTATATAAAAACCTGTCTGAAAATGAGCTGATCAGATTTTGGCCACTTTATGATATCATAACGATGTTTTGTCTTGTGTAACCATTAGCCAATCACCAACCAAGGTAACCCCCCCCCCCCCCCCCCCCCCTTATCACCTGAATCTCCTCCTAGAGCACCATTATGCGCTTTCACACCGCAGTACTTTTCCCACGTTCCGATATAGTTCTGAAATGTTGCGTTCACTCCAAAAAAACTGACTAAACTAAAATTAGTTAATGAGAACCTTATTACCCCCTTTTCCGTCAGGGACTTCCGTGGTTCTGATTGGCTGGGCTGATTGCAAACCGCGCCCCGTTAAACTCCCAAAAAGTTTTGTGAAGCCGCCATTTTATTATCCTCGCATTAGCATTATTAGCATTAGCCCAGCGCACGAACGCAGAGAGACTAACTTATGGCAACACAAAAGAAAACATGGGAGCGGTGGAGATGAGGAGGTGTCGGCGTTCTGGCGATTTACTCGGAAGGCTTCAGTAGAAGCTGCTGGGAGTCCCAGCAGCTTCGACTGAAGCCAGTCCCCAACCCCGGGGACTTCCGGCCGGGGACTTCGGGTGGCAGTATACACCGTGAAGTTGTTTGCGGCCTGCCAGTAAACCCAAAGCAGAAGAAGAAGTGACGTCAGCGGCTTCATTTGCCTAATCCTCCCCCAGGGACTTATTCCGGTGTGAACGCGATCTGTCCTTAGTTCATGAGAACTAAAGAGTTCGTATTGACCCGAATATAAGACGACCCGTCTTATATTCGGGTCAATACGGTACTTTGTTTCATCTGTAGAACAACTGAACATCCACAATTTGCTGCCTTTTTATAGGAGATGTATATTTGTACTGCTGTATTTCTTCGTTTCAAAGAGTTGTTGTTGTTGGTAGAAACCACGGATTTGTGTCTCTTTTTGTCGTGTTTCAGGCGGTGGGGGGTTGGAAGCGCAGTCCGTCGTCTCGCCCCTCCAGCAGGGTGGGGTCAAGCGAGGATCTGCTCTCTGATTCGGCGAGCGTGGCGTCCGACATCAGCGACTCCTCCTTCAACTCCAGCCTTCTGGGGAAACGCATGCTGGCTCCGCCCACTAAGGTAACACACCTGTTCAAAAGTGGTCTACAACAGGGGGAGAGAAACAAGTCAAATCCCTTGCAAGCGTACACATACTTGATACATTGATTTGATCACTTTGGGGGGATTCAAGTCCATCTGAAAGGACAGAGAACAAGAATCCATTGGTCGATGTGATTGCTCTTTTATCCCATAATTTAAGTCATTTTAAAATAGTTTTTATGTTTTATAATAGTTTATTTTATTTTGCGTATTGACTGGTTAATGTGCCATTTCGTTTGTGTTTTACGACCGCTGTATTCCTCTGCCTGTGTTTGTTTTGTGTCCATTTGTTGTAACTTTGTTCATGCTGCCCTCTTGGCCAGGTCACTCTTGGTTAAATAAAGGATATATAAATTGACCTTGATACTGATTTCTAGTCACACAGCTCCACCTGCAGACCAACACACTAAATTAAACTGATATTATCTTATTATTAACTTCCTTTATGTTTCATGTTTTGGTCCGTTAGAGTGCTTTGAGGAACATGTCAGGTGTGAAAGCTCCACCTCTTCAGAGGAGGAGGGTGACGGAGAGGAACAACACATCCTCTTCCTCGTCCTCAGTGTCCAGCTTCAACTCCAGCATCTCTCTGTCCCCAGCCAAAGGTACGCTGACATAATGTAAAGAGTATCCATGCTGTGTGAGGGGCTTACAAAACTACACCATTGTCCAAAAAATCTGACCACTTTTCCTTAAACTAAGTAAAAAAAATGCCATGGGGTTAAGGGAAAAACGTGAAAGATAATTCATCAGGACTAAAGCTCCTTACACACCAAGCCGATTTTTGCCGTCGATAGATGTCTGGCCGTCGATGAGCGTCCTGTCGCCCTACTCAGATTGGTGTGTCCCGCCCCGTCGTGTCTTTTCGGCCGTGCCGACACCTTTCGCCGCAGATTCGACATGTTGAATCGGGAGGCTGTCGGCAAAAGGCCGTCGGCTAAAGAAATCACTCTGATTGGCTGTTCAGCTAGCGAACCAGTGCATGAGAAGCGAAACGGAAGTGAGGGACCCAAACAAACGATTAAGAAGGCAAATCTGAGATTTCATTTAACTCCAGCTCTCGACACAGGTTGGGGAAAGCCCCATGAGCTTCTTGCTGTAGAGTGAAAATGGAACGCACACGCTATTTGTTGTTTGTTTATATCACGCAGTCTGTTCTTCTTCTCTCGGTGTATCACGCAGTCTGTCTTCCGGTTGTTGCCTCTTTTGAATGACGAATACACACTACCGCCGCCTGCTGGTAAGGAGAGTTATTGCCACTCACGCATGCGCAGTTCGTACGTGCTTCTTGGCCGTCGGCTGAAGTCTTTGCGGTGTGTTCCAGTGCGACTGTTGGCCAAGACGCAGGAGACGTGAGGCGACACAACAGTCGTGTTCTTTGGTGTCAGATTGGTGTGTAGGGGCCTTTAGGGAAAGAGACTGCACTGATAATGGGAGATGGGAGGAAAACATTAAATTACAACATGTCTTGGTTTAGAAAAAACTACACCCTTTGATGGTTTCCTTTTTAGGAAAATAAAACTCAAGCTAATGAGAATGGGAAGAAAATACGGTCTCACTCCTGTAAAGCAGCAGCAGATGAAAAGTGACGTGCGTCTGGGTGAGGAAACAGCCATGTTTCAAAGATGGACTAACAACAGAGTTTCTAAATACTTCCCTATGCTCTCTTATCACGGTCTTTCTTGCTGGCTTTATAAACATAGACAAATAAAGGTCTTAATTTCCAAGGTTGGAATTGAAATAATGTAAAAGGAAACGTTGCTTACCCTCTTGTCCACTCGTATTAATCAACATGAATCCCGATTAGTATGATAGTATGAAACTGTTTGAATAAATAATACTTTCACTACTTCAATTCAAACATGTTGAGTTAATTAAAGCCTGGGAAACACCATGAAATGCTCTTTTTAAATGACCTAATTTGATCAAGATTTGACAGTTCCCAAAAACATATAAGCACTTAAGCAAGTTATGGAATAAGTTGTAAAATGCTTAATAAGCACAGTGGCTTATACGATCTTTATTTGTCTGTCAAAGTATTTCAAAAAGAAAATGTTGAAGCTCAGGGTGTCCGCGGGGTCTTAAAAAGTATTAAAAGTTGATAAATCAATTTAGCGAAAATGAAGGCTATTAAAAAGTATTAAACGGCATTTTCCAAGGTATTACATTTTGTAGCTTGTTTTCAATAAGTATATCAATGGTCCAAAGAGGTTGTATTCTACAGTGTGCCTGAATGTAATCATTGCGTAGGTGTGTAGTGTGATTCTGTGTAGTTTATTTATGGCATCCCGTTGGATTTGACGTCATCTGAACAGGACATCGCACGCTCACTGCTTGATAGCGCAAAGGCCCGTTTACGCCGGTTGTTAAACAACATCGTTATGGGGAAATGCAAGTCTGCGTCCAAATGGTTGGAAGATAAGGAGGAAGGACAATCAATACTGTGTATAGTAAATGTGAGGTAAAGTGTGTCGCCAAGGTAACCGGTTAAAACTCCAAGTGGCGATGAGGTCTTAAAATGTATGGAAAGGGTCTTAAAAAAGGTCTTAAAAGGTATTACATTTGTCTTCAGGATTCCTGCATATACCCTGAAGCTCTTTCCGTATCGGTTAGAGAAACCGAACAGCTCTTATCATGGCTGCCATTTCAGGTTCATTTCTCTCTGTTAGAAACCTTCCTGCGAGGAAAAATACTATCCGACTGTAACCCTGTTGTTGTGTCTCCTCTCAGGTAGACTGAACTCCTCTCTGAGCGGCCCCGCCCCCAGCAGACCGGCCAATCAGAGCCGCCCTCGTCGCTCCACCATCAACACGGAGCCAACATCTTCCTCCACCATCGCTGGCCGCCGCTCGATGTCTCTGCAGAACAGGAAGCTGTCCGAGGTGGAGCGCGTCAAAGTGGTCAGATCCACGCCGCTGAAGAGGTCCGATTCCACGCCGGTGCAGCTGACCCCCGTTAAGAGAGGGTTGGAGAAGAGCACCCGGCCTCTGAGCGCTCTGAGGAGCAGATCCAGACCTGAGGCGCTCGTCCTTCTGACACCAGGCGGAGGATTCAGAGGAGTCCGCAATGCAGACGGTGAGAGCAGTTTTAATAGGAGCATCAGTCAAAGTCAACTTGATTGTCTATCTTTCAGTTTGTGTGTACAGACAGAGAGATGGAAATACCGTTTCCCACAAACCTGAATACAAATATATATAAAAATATGTATATCCTTTTGATACACACAATCAAGACACATTCATACATATGCACACATTAAGACATACATAAAAGCACAACAATCAATATATACAAAAAACAGTCACTTCAATTTGTTTGTATGTTTATGTTTCTCATTGTGCCTGTGATGCAGCACCTCTTTTCACCCTCTGTCTGAAACCAGAGCCCAGTTTGCTCTGATTGAAACTCCCTCTGGAGGGAACACACTAGGGCTGTGCGATTATGGCAAAAATCATAATCACGATTATTTTGGTCAATAATTGATATCACGATTATTAAATACGATTATTCATTGACTTTGAAAACATCCATTTATTGAACTTTAAAACAAATACAAATAATAATTTGAACAGTATCTTTTTAACTGTTGATTACCCTGAGCGTATAATTCAACTGAAAAACCAATACAAAAATAAATAAAATAAATGATACATTTAAATAAATAATATCAAAATAATAAATACCAATAAACAAGATCAACAAATATTTTGGAGCGCACTTAAACAAGCTACTAAACATATGTAAATATGATAAATACAAATAAATGAGACCAAAATAAATTAGATCAAATATGTTGCAGTGCACGGTCACAACCTAGCAAAGCTAAATAATTGTTTTTTTCGATTATGTTGTTTTCGTAATTGTGGCAGGCCAAAATCGTGATTGCGATTAAAATACGATTAATTGCACAGCCCTAGAACACAGGGATTCTAGCCTTTTAGCAGACTAAAAACCTGTATAACAAACTACTGGAAAGAGCAAACCCCCAAAAAGCAGAGTAGGGCCGCTTCAAAGCGAGCTAATCACCAAGAGCAGACTTGATGCTACGCTTTGACACATTATTTATCAGATATATAGACCTATTTCATTTTCCATTCCCTCTTCTTGTATGTTTTGACATTTAACAGGACTGTAATAAAGTAATCAAAATGACTGCATGAGACCGAATGCAGAATTCAAAGCTGCAGCCCTTTCTGTTATACCGCCACAGAACCTCCCTGTGGTAAATGAAGACACACTTAATGTTTGACTTTAGAAAGTTTAGGAGTAACGGTTCTGGTCCTTACCTTTTAGAAATAATCGGCTTGAATTTAAATGTCTTTGTTCACACCAAATAAAACAAAGTCTTTATTCTGTTTCACGATCTCATTGTGTTCTTGTTTTTAGCTCCAGAGGTCTCAAAGATGTTGAAGCCAAAGGCGCTGACGTCAGTGAGCAGCGTGGACAGGTAGGTGGCGCTAAATACTCCTTTTTAAAAGAGCAGCTTTTACCATCATCTGTCCTGTTACTCTGCTGAGTCTAGATCTGAAGTAGTTTCACATTTCCGATATTACGTCATATCGGACGCAAATCTGGATCAGCTCCGTTGTAGCCCCGTTTTTAGAGATTTGGGTAAGGAGGAAAAGAGAGGGGGTTTTATTTTCTGACACTGCATGAGTTCCCCGACACACCGGGGACACATGTTTATGTATAAAAGACATGAAAAAGTGCATTTTGCATGATAGGTCCTCTTTAAAAATAATCAGATTTGAAATGTACTTCTGTGTTGCGATCGCGTCTAAATGTGTTTTGGGGGAAACGTCCGGGCTGCAAAGTAACCAGTACGTTAAGAGCCTTTCAGTTCCCCCCAACAATTTGTATTGAAATAAATCAACATGGAACCAGTAATCACTAACTTTGTTTCCCCCCGGCCCCTTATCGTAGAACACCCAGCTAGTAAATAAAAAGTCTTACATTTGAGTATGACCCAAGCCCCCAGGAAGTGCGCCGGACTCGGATGAAAATATTCGTGCTGGCCAAACGGCGGTACTACACTTCCTTTTGGTTGCCAGGCCCGGAAACACTTTTTCCCATTGACTACATTGGGGAAAGAGTGGTCTGTAAATCGTTGGATAATTTTTTTTAAACTAAATAAACTACCCAGTATGAACACTTGTATAGCCCTTATTAAAAAACATTCGTTCCTCAAGTTGTAAAAATGTGCTAATAACGTTATTCTGTGAGTTATTTCCCTCTGCATTATGAACGCGCATCTAACCCACGGGACCGTGCCGCCCGGCACGTTCATGTTACGTGTTCAGCACTACATGCGTTTATCTTTACCCATGGATGCACAATAAGAACGGACCCATATCGCCTTATTGCCAGCCCACGAGCTGTAATAATGGATATATTGCACATGTTTGCTGTAATTCATCATTTGTAAAATATTATACTACATGGGCTGTATGATTAAATCTTGTACCGTAAATGTTGTATTAAATAAAGTTAATATTACCGACGTAGATTAACGTCCCTGTAGCTTCTTATTGCACTAAGAAGCTTATTGCACTGTATATATATATATATACATATATATATATATATATATATATATACATATATATACAGTGCAATCATTCTTTCATGCTAAATGAAGCTCTGTTGCTTGGATATCACTAGATCCTGTTACAAAGCGTAATATAAAAGTACATAACGATTGATGTGTAAATTAGCATAATTACTAGCTAACCGCTAGCTGCTAACTGCCAACTGCCGCCTTCGTTAATATCAAATCTATCATAACAACCATTACCATGCTGTCATGAACGTGCGGTGCTGTTACGTGTACGCAAATTGACGTGCTTGATGTGAACGAGCATTTTGGGGGGCATGGTTAAAGTTGCGCATAGCGCTATGAGCGCACATACGGGTCCTTCTCAGGCATTGCCGGGTAATCTGTGACGTTTCGCTCTCTCAAAAGTTGGGCCATTTTATCATCATGCGCGAATGAGCAACTCTCATAGGATGAATGAGGCCCCGCCTCCCACGCTGTATCCAGTTCTTATTATACATCCATGGTATGACCTTGGGCAGATCATTAATCATTTCCCTCTCCTTCTTCTCCTGTAGTCTCCAGAAGTCCTCCGGCCCTCTGACGCCCCCTGCTGTCCGGTCACTGCAGGTGAAACCTCAACGTCCCTCTGCCCTCCCGACCCCCGTGAAGCGCAGGATGTCCTCCATCCCCGTCGCTACGCCCACCACCAAGAGCCGGGCCAGCAGACCGCCCTCTGACCCAGACTCTGACCCCGCCCACACACCCTCCTCCACCAGGAGGGACAGGAGCTGCTGGTAAGGCTGCCGTTGACCAATAGGAACACCCCTTGTTATATATATATATATATATATATATATATATGGCCGTTAATAACTGTGCAATATATACCTGGCTGCTAAATCCTCAGAACTGTTACAGGATGTGGTATTTTGGTAAATTCTTATTTTCTTATATTTTTTTATCTTTACGTTTTTTTGTACGCATGCTTCTTAGTCAACATTAAGCTGTCTTTGGCTCTTTTCTGCTGTCCCCTCTGTGGGACTAATACAGGTATTCTGATCGCTGCTTTAAACCCCATACAGAGGTCTCAATGGACGACATTTTAGAAATGAGATGCTGCACAAGTCATGTTGGTTTCCCCCAATGTTCTCAGGATACTCACTAAAGTAATATTGGACCCATTTGTCACGAGAGAAACAAGAACCATCTTACTTCTGACACTAAAATGGCATTTTATGACATGTCTCAACAACTTCTCGCTGAGATTTGGCAACAGGGAAGGTTTCTCATTTCTCTAATTCCCCTCCTCGACTCCTATCCTCGTGTCTTAGTCCCGCTCACAGGAGATGCGAGCGGAGGAGTCGAGGAGGGGAACCGAGGAGAGAGGAGGAGCACGGTAGTGAACTGTCAACGGGGGGGGCGGGGTGCATGCCCACTGCACCTCGCGGGAGCGTGCACAGCGTAAATCCAAAACTCAGACATTTCAATGATCTGTACGACAAAGTTAGGTTTGGAAACGGTATCATTTCCTTTTGGCGGGCATGCATAACACCGGAGCCTCGCTGCGGGGAGACTTTGGCGCTGTTCCGAGTTTGTTCTAATCTGTCAAAATGACAGACTGCTTTCAGATTTTTCCGTCATTGTTAAAAGAAATCTGTCATAGACGGAAAATATTCGGTTAACGCGACCTCTGACACACACATATTTATATAAATATATACAATTTCAGAATCAAACAAGTATGAGAGCACTCTCATAATAACGTAACACTATCAGAGTCTTGATATATCCCCCCCCCCCTTCTCTGGTCGCTACAATGGGGAATCTCACTCAATTTAAATTACGGCCAAAAGTTTTATTTACAAGTATTAAAGGGGACCTATCTTGCAAAATGCACTTGTTGATGTCTTTGATACATAAAGATGTGTCCCCGGTGTGTCAGGGAACTCACGCAGCATCAGAAAATAAAACCCTCTCTCTTTTCCTCCGTACCCAAATCTCTAAAAATGGGGCTACAACGGAGCTGATCCAGATTTGCGTCCGATATGACGTAATATCGGAAATGTGGACCCACGGCCCTATCAGAAAGTTGCTATCAGAAACAATGCCTGACTGTTTTGGACGTAATATGGTCGGTGTTTACATTAGCAGAGTGATATATATTATACACACTGCTCTGCTTTCTGCACGGACCTCACAACTGTAAACATTGGGTCGCGATGAAAGCAGTTAATAAAATAATATCCAGGGGATGCATGCAGAGCTGTCATTGGCTGAGATAAGTCCGGCCGTGCCACGACTCTTTTAAACATCTCTGTTGCCGGAAATACATCCGCGGAGGACCCATCAGTGTATCCTCGATCATAGCTCCTCCAGAGAGCCTCCTCGATCCTCGGTCCTCGGTCCTCGATGTGCATTTAGAGAAATGAGATGTCCTTCAACATGGCGCGCTGAAATCCATTTCCGGGTCACAACCGGAGGACCGAGGAGTCGAGGAGGGGAAATTAGAGAAATTAGAAACCTTCCGGGTGTTCACATTAGGCTTCTTTTTTGTTTTAGATTGTTTATGTTCGCACCACCAGATACCAAAGCAAATTCCTTGTATGTGTTAACGTACCTGGCAATAAACTTGATTCTGATTCATGTTGATTAGCTGTGTGTGCCCATTTAAGAGACAGAAAGTGTATATCATGTCTTATAATAAGTGGAATTGGCAAATTTCTTCTTGAGAAAATAGAAACATTAAATATCTTCGGACTCATTCGGTTGTTTGTTTTGGTTTTTGTAGCCCCGCCCCCGTGGAGATGCAGGAGGCGGAGCCTGTTGAAGTGCCTGTCATCCAGCCTTTCTGCCTGGAGGAGGAGGAGCTTCCTGCTGCCCTGCCCACCAGCTCACCACATTCCGACCAATCAGAGAGCACAGAGGCTGGAGCACCGAGTCAGGGCCAATCAGAGTGTACAGTTCCTGCAGCACAGAGTCACAGCCAATCACAGAGCACAGTTCCTGCAGCACAGATTGAGAGCCAATCAGAGAGCACAGATCCTGCAGCAGCGAGTGAGAGCCAATCGGAGAGCACAGTTCCTGCAGCACGGATTGAGAGCCAATCAGAGCCCAGCAGGAACCTGATCGAACCTGAAACTAAAGAGGAGAGCCACCACAAGACACAGGAGGTCAGAGGTCACGCAAAAATAAAAACACACACACCTCATATAACTCAACATTTCTTCTGTTTTCAACTGTATTTATTTCTGCCTTTTGTGTGGCAACCAATGAGTGTCTGAGAGTTCACTTCACTTCTTGTTTCTCTCCTCAGTTTCTCCTCCTGGATCTCCCCGTTCCGACGCTGCTCCCTCAGGAGAAGATGCTCATCGACCTGAGCAACACCCCCGACCTGATCCGCACCAGCAGCAAGTCCTGCTCCAACTCTCAGGTACTCACACATTACCTTTAGCTGACGCTTTTATCCAAAGAGACTCCCAATAAGTGCATTCAACCATGAAGAAACAAACTCAAAGCACGATACATGTGCAGGTACATGTCCTCTCTATGAGCCCAACTCGATTAAGTGCTACTCCGACACATCCCTTTACAATATTATATCCACAAACACAAAACCTATAATGTAAAAATATTACACACGCATTACATTACATGCTTTTCTGCATAGGAGCCCAAATTAGGCCAGGGGCAGCACTGCAAACACCTAGCTATAAATAGTCAAACCAGAGAATCTGATTCGGCTGCTGTGTTTGTGTTTTTTAGATATATGTATTTGAGTTGTATAAATAAACAAAAAAACTGAAATAAAATAACCTAAGAAGCGACCGTTTGAGTCGGAAGACAAAGTAAATGTAATTTTAAAGCATTTTTTATGCGTTACTTTAACTTCTGTGTGGTTTAAAAAAAAACACACCCGGCACAAATTATTCTTATGTTTTAAAATATCTCTTCAGGGGAGCTTTAATAATCTTTATTTGCATATATTGGACTTGCAGTTCAAAGTGTAGACGGTAGACATCTCCTAGAATACTCACAGAATATATCACATAGAATACAGTTACAAGTACAAGACATAAAACAAACTTAAAAATAGCAAAGAATAGACATAATAGGTACGACGTGCATTAAAAGGAGGATAGTGCAAATACAACAAAGTCAGGTGACAGGTTAAAAGGCAGCAGAAAGCAGGAGTTCGCTTCCTAAAAGGCTAAATTGTACAAATATGTTCTGAGTCCCTGATGACTCGAGGCATTTTGTTCCATAGCTTTGAGGAATAGTTTAAAGGCCAATCTTTAAATACAGTGTTTTCTCTCAACCTGTGTTTATATAAATCTCTATTTTCCTGCAGCTGATCGACCTGACCTCTCCGCTCATCAAGTGGAGTCCTGAAGACAAGAGGGAGAACCACGCTCCGCTCATCAACCTCTCCTTCTGATCTTCCTCTTCGTCCTCTTCATCCTCCTCCTCATCCTCCTCCTCAGGATCTTCCGTAAACTGGACTCTTAATTATTATAATTTAGTAAAAATGACCCCTAAAGTTTTTATCAGCGTAGCCTTAACTGAGTATTATGTTTTTTAAATGGTGAAAATATTCAAAGGTTGCAGAAGGTGTTTCTGCACCGGATTGTACTTCTATTGTCTCAGTCTTGCTCTTATTGATGTCTGAATAAATGTTGATTATGTCACGGCTGTTTGTTTACTTTCTGTGGTTATAATATGTCCTCTTTACTTGATTGAGGTAAGAGTTAGGTAGTAAAAAAACACTAGAATATATATTTAATAAACCTCCAATCAAAGATTTTGTTGTAAAGATCTGGCATTTGAAATGATGAAAAATTGAAAAAAATGGTCAAATAATCTCAGATATTTTTATTTTTCCAGCAAAACAAACTCCTGTAATTATGCAACAGATTATTCCAATTCAAAATGAAATAAAACCAGACAAATGAACATGTGTTCCATGATGAAACATAAGAAATCTCATGCTCTATAGACACAGTGTGCTCGCTCTCACAGGGTGGCAGGAAGTGTTTTCTTCTCGCTGCCCCAGCACATTTCGCGCCAAAGTGACTCTTATCGCTGAGTGTGTTTTCCTCAGCTGTTATATAATAAATATACTGCAGGCTTTAAAAGCAGCAGGTTCAGGTGTGTGTTGTTCACCTGAAACATGGCTCTCTTCACGTGCACTATCCTCGTCTTCCTCGCGCTCTCCGACTGCAGCTGGGCTGAAGAGCAGATGAGGAGCTTTGTCATATCTTGACTTAAAGTGGACCTATCATGCTATATTTGAATAATATAGTGTAGGACCATACCTATATAAGGCATATTTAGACTTTTTTTTTTTTCAAAATACCAAACAGATCATGCATTTTAGCCATGCCTCATTTCGCTCAATTTGACCATTTCTAGCTCTGGGCAGATTCAGTGAGAACAGCACCATCTACTGGCCTGGCATATGTACTACAGCGTCTCCAGCGCTTTCTAACGGCAATGGCCGTGGCTGTCTCCTCCTGATTGGTGGAGTTGGCCCAATAGCCGTAGTGCCACCGTCCTGACGTCAGGACAGTGTTCAAATCTGGATCAGTTTTTATCAGATCCGTTGCAGCCCCTTTTTTAGAGATTTGGGTATGGAGGAAAATAGAGAGGGTTGTGTTTTCTGACACTTGGTGAGTTCCCTGGAACACCGGGGACACATATTCATGTATAAAAGACGTACAAAAGTGCATTTTGCATGATAGGTCCCCTTTTAAATAGAACATTTTATTTTTTAATTTCTGATCTAAAATATTTTGATTGCGTTTCGACAATGCATAAACCAAGGGGTGTCCAAACTACGACCCGGGGGCCACATGCGGCCCGTTGCTCACTTTTAATCGGCCGTCAGCAAATGCTAAAAGTATGAATGAATATCAGAAATGTGTGCTTGTCTTACATTTTACGTTTATTATGTTAAAATAAACTACACAGTATTCACGTGTTAAAGGTAGGGTAGGTAAGTTTGAGAAACCGGCTCGAGATACACTTTTTGTTATATTCCATGGAATGCTCTTAACATCCTGATAGCAATGAATATCTTAAGTGCTTTGACACAAAATCCATAGATCATCAACATCCATAATTTTGTTACCTTTGGACAGGCTGGCTTTGTCTTCCCCTGTTTCCAGTCTTTATGCTAAGCTAAGCTAACCAGCTGATGGCCTTATTTCTAACAAACATATACAGCAATCTTAATATCTATGATCAGCTGATCCAAGAGGGTTTGAAATAGTTTATAAAGTTTCAGAAGAACCAAATCTATCAGACAAATGTAGTTAAGTAGAAATGGAAATAGTTAAGTACATTTTTTTTAAGCTACTTTCCCTAAGTTGAGAACTAGTGAAAACTCTACTTCAGTAAGTACATTTAAAAAACACAAAAAATAACATTCTTTGTTCCTTTTTTTTTAATCCATTGAGGCTTTGTTCAAACTTTACAAGCAGTGTGCAGAGAGGTGGACGAAATACAATTAACATAACACAACAGACAGCTGAGATGTAACATTTAAATTTCCCTGGTTTGTGAAACCACTGCAGCCTAATGTTTAATGATCAGGTATTGTTGATTCTCCAAGTAACTGTCAATACATTTTGTACCAATATACTATAATTCAATAATCAATCCTGAACTTCCCCTTTAAAACACACCAGAGACCCATCATTTTCCCCTCAATTGAAAATTATAAAAAAAATATATATACAGTATTTTACTGATGAAAAAAGAGTGCATTACTTCCACTAGTAATGTGTGCAAGTATGAAACACTTTTTGAACACACAATTCTGAGACAATAAATACTTTTCTTGTCCCCCTGACATATAAAATAAGTGGTAAAAGTTTATTTCTGAGTAAATAGTTTTCTGATCACTTCGAGTCATGACGGCAGGAAGTGCAATCCATAGAATAAACTAGAGTACATTAGAACATACTCATCAGTATTTGATGTGTTTTTATGCATCTCATCAAGGTGAACCATATGTGATCAGATTCTGAAACATTAACAATGTGTACAATGTACTTCCCCAGTTGAATACATGTATTACATTTAGTGAGAGTGACTCTTTCTGTAGAAAATCCAATGGTTGTTCTACTCAGTGTGATTGACAGGAGAGATGATCAGAGGGGCAGAGTTTTTACCACCATCATTATGACCGGGACCAAAGTATGGGTAGAGTTTCTCTTTGAAGCAGCAGCCAGTGAAGGAGTAGATCAGAGCTGCAGCATCAACATCATAAAAGGAGACCAGACCCTCCTCATAATCCACAAACACCCCCACCTTCTCAGGCTGAGACTTCAGAGAGAGACGGACTGGAGGATCAGCACCAGCTGTGTACTCATTTTCATTCCTCAACATTATCATCCAGTTACCATCCTGAGGAGACGCTGTGATCTGTCCCTTCCTGTTGATCGACTCTCTGGCCACTCCTAAATCCCACCCAGTCTTCCCTTTAACCTGAACCTCGTAATAAAATCTTCCTGAAGAGAAACTCTGCTTTGCTAAGACACTAGGACAATGATCAAATCTCTCTGGATTGTCTGGGAGATTCTTCCTCACATCACCATCTTTAACTTGTTTTCCATCATCAGACAGGATGAGATCAGGATGTGCTGTATCAGGATCAAGAGTCACCTCCACCTCATACCGCTGGACCCTCTTCAGCTCCACCTCAGAGAGCAGCTTCTTCATCTGTTTACTGAGCGTCTCCTCCAGCTGAGTCACAGCTCTCCTCACAGTCCCCTCATATGAAGGTGGACGGACCCTGACTTCTGTCCAGTTCTTGGTGGGTGGAGCAGCGTTCAGGGACGTGAAGCTTTGGAGGAGGTGGAGCTGGTCTTCAGAGCGTGACAGCTGCTCCACCTCAGAGCTTCTCTTCTTCAGCTCAGAGATTTCCTGTTCCAGCTCTTTGATGAAGCCTTCAGCCTGTTCCTCTGTCTCTCTCTGCTTCTCTTTGATGGTGTCGATGAGCTCGGCCTGGCTTCTCTCAACAGACTCCTTCAGAGCGGTGAAGACCTGAACACCATCTGCTATCTCTCTGTCTGCTCCTTCCTTACTGAGCTCCACTGAGCGATTCATCTCCTGAATCTTCAGTCGTCTCTTCTGGATCATCTGCTGAGTTTCAGCCTCTGTCTTCCCCAGCTCAGCCTTCTTTCCTTCATATTCTTCTTTCAGAGGAACAACATCATGTGTCTTGTGGTCTAAAACAGTGCAGAGCATGCAGACACACACCTGGTCGGTCTTACAGAACAGCTCCAGCAGTTTATCGTGCTTCACACACATCCTGCCTTCCAGGTTCTCCACAGGGTCGATCAGCTGATGTTTCTTCAGGCCTGGCCTTGTCAGGTGAGGCTCCAGGTGAGTCTCACAGTAGGACTCCAGACACACCAGGCAGGACTTCAGGGCCTTCAGTCTGGTTCCAGTGCAGGCGTCACAGGGAACTTCTACTGGTTTGACAACTTGTTGCTCTGAGCTGCTGCTGCTGGCTTTCTGTTGAGCTGACTGTCTGAACTGAGCAGCCATCTCAGAGATGAAAGTGTTGACCAGCAGCTCAGGCCTTGTGTGGAATAACTTTTTACAGTTGGGACACTGATAGGGGACTTTAGTATCCCAGTGTTGAGAGATGCAGGCTTTACAGAAGTTGTGTCCACATGGTGTGCTGACTGGATCAGTGAACACATCCAGACAGATGGAGCACAGAAACTGATCTTCAGTCAGCAGACAGCTGGCAGCAGACATGTCTCTCTGAGGACAAAACGTGTGAAAAAAACAAAAACTGTAATGTATATATGATTTAATCTCTTGTATCTGTTTGCTATAAGTCAAATAGATGGTGATACTGAACTCTGCTGATGTATCATGATTATGCGGAGGGTGAAAGATTGCTCAAATTTGCAGTACACTGTTATTGTTAAATGTTAAACAAATCTCTCTGTTTGTTAATATTATAAATAAATCTGGAAAATCATAGCAGCATTCAGTTTAAACTCTAAGAAACACAATGTGTAAGCTCTAATACTGTTGGGGGATTTTGCCATTGTTGAACAGAGGAGTGAAACCTCCTGCTGAGCATCACTGAAGTTAATACTAGTTGTTGTTGTCGTGTGCTGTGCTGAAGCGCAATCATCCTTGTACATTACTGTTTTATATACAGTACTGTATTCACTGTATTTATTATTATCTGTGTATTTATTCTTATTTATACATTTCCCATCTATTTACCTTTATTTTGTATCATTTATTTTGTACATACTTCTGATAATTGTGTATATAACTGACTGTTTTGCACTCTGGTTAGACCCTCCTTCATTTTGTTACACTGTGCTTGCATTTTGTAATGACAATAGAGTAATCTGATCTAATCTAATCTAAATGTCACTACCCGATCTGCCGCCCTGCCCTATCTGCAGTGCGCATGTGCGAGATGGTCCGCCATATTGCACAACTCCGTACGGCAACCCAACTAGGACACTTGACACAGTGGCATTTGGCAAAGCACACAAAGAAAACTCCGAAAACCGAGAGAGATGAGTTATTGTTATTACAACGTGACTTCACTATTATTTAACAACTCTTTTTATTGGGTTCTTTTATTTGGGGTTAAGTACATTGTCAGAATAAGTGAGACATGGATTTAACTTCTGTTAGACAGCTA